TGGAACAAATATTTTGTTATGTGACACAGACCTTCCTGGGAAATAAAGCAAATTAATGGTAATGTTATTTAAAGTTGATACTTTTTTCCATTTTCTTTTATTCTTATTTTGAATCTTAAATACTGTATACTATTACAGTGATAAATACCATTTATTTTAGTTCCAGATTCTCATAAAAACAATAGCCGAGTTCTTGAGGGTTTCATTTTCTACGCCTTTCATATAAAAAAACATGGCATTACAACACACCTTATTCACATCTGATAAAAGGTTCAAATAACTGCTTGCTGGAACAAGCTTTTGAAATCTAAAGACAGTTCCTAGGTTCTTTTATTCCAACTATAAGCATTTTAAATGTACACTCTTAACACCATAACCCCTGTAGTACAATGGATTGGCTATGCGGCTTAGAATCTATAGGCATCATGCTTTTTTGACACACTATTCAAATGGGATTTAAACCACCTCTCTTCATCAATAAACCAGAATTAAAGGAACACACTAATCTTGTTTGTTTGTTTGTTTTTTTAAGTTTAAAATAGACATAAATTTCATCTTTCATCCGCTGGTGGGTCAGTCTCCACTACGCATGCACACAGGGAAACAAGTTATTTTATTTTCAATTTTGTTTTGGTAATTCCCGAAAAATTTTGGATGAAATGTCAATTCGTAACTAACCAAAATTAGCTGAAAATTTCACATAATATCATAAATTGAGGCGCATTAGCCCCCCGCCAGCTGAATTTGCTCTTTCAGTTGATTAGTATTTATATCCCTAATTTGTTACCCTTAATTATGACAATCACACGTAAGGATACCAAGAGCAATGTTATGGATTTTGCTGTTTTAGCTGCTTAACAGATAATCCCTAATTGTCTATTCTTATGAAAACAAGTGGATCCAAAAATTTTGGGATCAATTCTTTCTAAAGCATCCAAATTTCCGAAATTATTCCAATTCCAAATGCACGTGTCTACACAGAGCACCTGTTCTGCATCTGGTGAAGTCAGTAATGAAGAAGTAATGATAGCTGTTGTCCAATTCAATGCTTCTCGAAGAAAAGAATTGGGCCGAACATTTTAAAGTAACTTTGAGTTTTAGACAGACTAGCTATTAAATAATCCTGTGAGTTTACACCATTACTAACCTGCGGAATATGTTAGCGCTATATAAATGGCAAAAATAATAAAATAATAAAAATTTCCTTTGTTCCTGTAAAATTACTGGATATAATGCTAATATCTTTACAAGTGTCCATTGTGCTAGAGAACCAAGCTAGCTCAGCTAAATCTTCACTGATAAACCAGACATACATTAAAGCTCAATTAAGTGATCTGGGTGTCAGGTCCCTCTAGGGTTAACCCTGCCTGATGTAAACATAGCAGTTTCTTAGAAACTGCTATGTTTACATCTGGGGTTAAGCCAACCTCTAGTGGCTGTCTTCCGGACAGCCACTAGAGGCACATCGACAATGATTGAGGCATGATTGAATCACGCAGAGCGTCCATAGGAAAGCATTGAAAAATTCGGCGCCAGTGACATCAGACAAGGATGCTGACATCGGCGGGGGAGGAGAGGTAAGGGAGCCCGGCGGGGGAAAAGTGTGAGTAGCTGAAGGGGTTTTAACCCACGCGGTTTTCCTGACACTATAGTGTCCCTTTAATTATTATAAGAAAAAAATGATGCATGAAACAGCTAGAGAATTAAATCAATAAATAAATACTTTAAAGGAACACTATAGTCACCTGAACAACTTTAGCTTAATAAAGCAGTTTTAGTGTATATAACCTGCCCCTGCAGCCTCACTGCTCAATGCCATTTATGAGTTAAATCCCTTTGTTTATGAACCCTAGTCACACCTCCCTGCATGTTACTTGCACAGCCTTCCATAAACACTTCCTGTAAACAAAGCCCTATTTAGGCTTTCTTTATTGCAAGTTCTGTTTAATTAAGATTTTCTTATCCCCTGCTATGTTAATAGCTTGCTAGACCCTGCAAGAGCCTCCTGTATGTGATTAAAGTTCAATTTAGAGATTGAGATACAATTATTTAAGGTAAATTACATCTGTTTGAAAGTGAAACCAGTTTTTTTTTTCATGCAGGCTCTGTCAATCATAGCCAGGGGAGATGTGGCTAGGGCTGCATAAACAGAAACAAAGTGATTTAACTCCTAAATGACAGTGAATTGAGCAGTGAAATTGCAGGGGAATGATCTATACACTAAAACTGCTTTATTTAGCTAAAGTAATTTAGGTGACTATAGTGTTCCTTTAATTAAATTAATTAAACATTTATATGCTTCAGTTCATATTATGTTGTCATCAGCTAGTCATTTCTCAAATTTGTGGATTAGAATGTATGGGATATGGGATTTTTTTGTGACATGGTAGGCATACTAGGTTACTTAGACTTAAAAAAACCCTGTATTTATAATTGTTACTTTATATATTTTCACTAGGTAACTTGTACATTTAGTTTTTCCTTAGAGAGTTCCTAAAACAGTTTAAAAAGAGAAACTAGTAAATGTTTTCTTTAAACCTTTTTGCGTTTCGAACCTAGGTTCATCATCTGTATCTTTACTCAGCAGTAAAATACTGAGTGGTTAATTGCTCAAATTACAAAAAAGAAGCTGATACATGAGTTTAGAATCGTTTCTGTAAGAATCCTCACGTTACCATAACCGTTATACTTTATGTACAGGCCTCAGAGATGCAAATCTATACTTGTCTTTCAGATCTTTATATCTATATTATAAGCACATGGCACATTGACATTAAAATGTTGGGCAATTTTAAGAGAAACAGACTATCTAAGAAAGTAGGAGGTCAAGCATTTCCCAGCATGCATAGGGCATGCCTATTGTCAGTGACATAACATTTACAGAGATGCCACATTCATAGAATCAAAATGATAATCCATGAGTTTTACCAGAACTTACATCTTTTCAGTCTAAGTGTCAATACCATCCAGTCATATTTTTTCCTGTATTCCTATGAAGATTTTTTGATGGTATCATTGAATTTTCCTTAAGGTTTTTGTTTTGATTTCCTAAATCCCTAAATAGTAAAAATAAAAACCCTGGGAATAGTTCAGCTAACTGTCGAAGTGGATGGTCGCACGTTCCTGAAGTTCTGGGATATATTATTTATTATGTTATATAGCGCCATCAGATTCCGTAGCGCTGTACAATGAGTGGACTAACAGACATGTAATTGTAACCATAAAAATGGACACACAGGAACAGAGGGGTTGAGGGCCCTGCTCAAAGAGCTTACATGCTAGAGGGAGTAGGGTATAGTGACACAAGGGGTATAAGTAGGGGTACGGAGTAGGTTGCTAGAAAAGTATTCACTGGGAACTTAGTAGGTTATTTTTGACAGTTGCAGGAAAGGAGTCCTGTGGGTGGAGGGGGGTTTGAAACCCGCTGACAGTTTTAATGATATGCTTTCCTGTAGAAGTGTGGTTTCAAATATTTTTTTGAAGGAGTGGAGACTGGTTGAAAGTCTAACGGAGAAGGGAAGGGAGTTCCACAGAAAAGGTGCAGCCCTGGAGAAGTCTTGGAGGTGAGCATCAGATGTGGGAGTACGGACAGAGGATAGACGTCTTCGGCAGAGCACAGGGGCCTAGACGGGACATACTTGTGTATTAGGAAGCTTGGAGCAGCATTATGTAGGGACGTGTAAGCAAGCACCAGAATCTTAAATTGAGCCCTATATCTATCTGGAAGCCAATGTAGGGACTGACAGAGAGGGGAGGTGTGGGAGGTGCGGGCGCACAGGAAAATGAGCCTCGCTGCTGCATTCATAATAGAATTCAGCAGTGCAATCTGGGAACACATAAGACCATTGTGAAGGGGATTGCAGTAGTCAAGGCGAGAAAGAACAACGGCATGGACCAGCACCTTAGCCGCGTCCGGTGTTAAATAGGGACGGATGCGAGCTATGTTTTTGAGATGGAAACAGGATTTGGCAATCGACTGGAAATGAGGAGTGAAGGAGAGGTTGGAGTCAGAGAACTAAACTACAATATCAGAGCTTTTACCTCTCCTGATTGGACTTCAGAGACTATCTGACCTGGAATGAGTCCAACGCTGCTTCCAAGCCCCCACATGCCTAGGACGCACCCACAGACAGAATCTCTCCGTTCACCCTGATCAGCCCAGGTTGGACTCATATGTGGCAGCCACCACTTGAATCCTCAAAGGGTCCTAGAATGGAGCTAGAATCCTGAATGTCCCTGTTATGTTTCGTTTCATTGTTCTTGTTTTTTCATGCTTAAAATTTTTATAAACTTCTTCTCTAAGGTAGATCAGTTACCTCAAGTGAAGACCGCTGGGTATAGCTCCCAAATGATTCCCCCATTGCCCCCCCCACCTTAAGGCCATACAGCCAAAAATTATGCCCACTCCATAGACAGGCGCACAACGCCTTATTGCTATGGCCCAAACTCACACCTGCTGTTTCTGTTTTCCGTATTCCCTTACCTAGTTACTTCCCAATATAAAACAGTATGGCCTCGTACTTAACGTCTACACAGTCGGTAGGAACACAAACTACATAAGTAGTTCACCTTATAGCCTAGCGCTTACCAGCCACTTCTCCGTAATGCCCCAATATATGTGATGCATTTTGTTTGGTTTTTAATATCTAAAAATGTCAATTCATATGTTACACTAATCTCTCTGACTACGGCCTATGTATACTATCGCAGGTACAATATACACACATGGCTCTGTTGCCACAGCAACGCATAACTATAAGTTGATACAAAAAAAATAAAACCCTTGTTGAGATGTTCTGTGCAGGTGTCTTCCATAACACAATACCAAATGTTGATTTAATAAGGTTTGTTCATTGCACCATTGAAAATAAACCAGGGTTTGTTACAAAATAGAAGTATTTATTTTTTTTTAAAAAGCTGTTTTGATTATCATTCCTTAGAAAAAAATCACAATACTTTTTTGAAAAATCACATATAAAAAAAAAGTTAATAGCTATAAAGGACAGACAAGTTTTATAGCAATAAATGATTTTGTGCATGGTGATTTACAATCACAAATTTAGGAAGAAAAACATAAATGAATATTTGATAATCCAGCTTCCATAGCCCACCTTTTTCTATTAGTTTCTTCAAGCATATTGTACAAAAGAGTATAATCTACTAAAATATATTTTCATTAAAAAAATCCATGAAGTTCCTACAAAAATTGTCTTCTAGAATATTTAGAAAAAAACTGCATAATTTGGAATTCGAAGAAACTAACCTGAGAAGATTGTGACTGGTTTGGTGGTATCTCGGTTCTGCGAGTTGGGGGAGAAATTAAATGCCCTATCTATTTCATTTCCAAGTTTGAGAAAGTTAAGGTGACTATGAGTTCTTTTTGATCTTCCAAAGGTATTGTTACATTATAAATTCACATATGTGTCAAAAGGCCCCATATACTCCAGTTATTTTAAGGAAACACATGTAATAACAGTTGAAGCAAAAGTGCAAATGAGCAATTTATAATGTTCGCAATTTGTTTAAAGATCTCGGGTTCTTCTTAAATGCCTTCAAGAGTAAATATTCACACTGAGGCTCGCTGAAAGTCTTCAAAACCTCATTTGAATTCAATAAAATGGCCAATATTGGATATATGGTACAAGTCTCCAATTAGAGCTCTGATTCCAAAAGTAAACTGCCTTCTGCTGGAGTAGCTCAAGATTAAATACAAAAATAACTTTTTTGATCATGGAGTGGTTAAAGATAGATCAGAGTAGCTTAAACCAACAATCTGGCATTGTTACTAAAGCATCACTTTCAGTTGAGATTAAAGTGCGATAATTGCAGTGACATTGTTAATAGGGTGATTTAACTCACTTGACACACTTATTTTGGTCATTGTCTTCCACAAAACCAGGAAACATAGGTTTAGGATCCTTTTGATGATTAGGTCAGTAGATATAATGAATTATAGAGCATTTATGTCAGAGGTGTGATTGATTTAGTGTATAGAACCTGTTTCGTTTTTTTAATTAGAGATGAATATATGTATAACTGTTTCAGTGCATTTACAAATAACCTAGGCAATATGCGTTAATAGGCACACTTCATCAGACTTCATTTGCTAACTGTAACACAAATCAAAGTTGCTGATTTCCCTTGTAAAGAAGTCTTCTGTGACAGTCGATGATGGGATATATTCAATACAGTCTGTGTAGTTGTAATAACAGGTATTTGGTACCTGTGCCTCTTCTTGCTGTGACACAGGGCTACAGTGTTCACAGTAACAGAATGTGGCTCCATTTCTCTGTTGGCAATGATAGCCCACATTTGAAAAGACGCAACTTCTAGGCTCCTCGTAAGATGGAGAACTGAAGCTCTGTGGGGCGAAGCCTATCTCTTGCTGGGTTGGGGAATAGTCAAATGAGTTTGATAAATCTGATGAATCTGAAGGTGATTCTGGAGCCTGTAACATAAAATACTGCATTTAAATATAATTTATAATCACTTAATGTCTTAATGTCTTATCATGACTTCTATAAAAGGCATCATGATCCATATAAATGGGAAACTGCAAAAATAAGGTAATCAGTAATTAGATTAGGTAGATTCATTAAAAAATTGCAAATAAAACAATGTACACCAATAGACGTTCTGATTGTTTAGATGAATCAAAGAAGACAGTCAACAGTACCTTGAATGCAGTTTTCTCTAACCTAAGGTCCTCCTTAACCTGATTACTTTCTAACCCTAGTTTCCCATAATTATTAACTGCCCTAACCTGAAACCTAAGTCCCTCTGAGAAAACCCTTTCAAATTTGGTCTTTTTCCCCACTAGTTTAAAGTACCTCCATAAGGTTTTAGTATTCACTAAAGATATTTTTTTTATGAAATGATCATGTTGACTGCTTTGGGGTTGAATTGAAAGCAATTAATAGATTTCATAAGTAATGACTGCTTTGTCTTATGGGCGAGTGACAAAACATGACAAATGTTGGGATGTCTATCACCACACTTTAAAAGGTCTATAGAAAAAGACATCATCTTGCACATTGCATGTGAGGTTCCCACAGTCTCATGCAGGAAACTCCCATGTACAAGAGTATAAGAGTGATGCCAGCTTGGGAAAGATGAATCAACAGGAGCTGGAGACAGAGTCCAGAAGAAGATGGCAATGTTTGTGAGGAACCGTTTCAGCTAAGTATATCTTCATTTAGCTTCAGCCCTGAGTTACTGCACATCGAGTATGTAAAGATCCCAGAGGTAACAGAGCTGCTTTAGTGACCATACAATCATTTAACTTCATATACCTTTAGCTTTCCTAAAGATATATTGCTCAATCAACTTGTATGGCATGAAGGATGGAGAGGTCTTCAAGGGTCAACGCAAGGCAATCAATCAGTTGCAAAGAGTTATTTAAATGTCTGTTTAAAACAGCTTTACTTGTCATGTTAGGTCCTTGTTCTTTACTTACCCATACTTACCCATACTACGTACCTTGTAGATACTATCATAGTTATTGATTAAAATTAGAATTCCATTGAAATAATGACATTTTCCAGTTTGACTATTTGACCTTTTAAATTTGTAATTCAGTTCAAATTCACTTGGAATTCTCACTTTACTGAATAACTCTGTGTGAGTATGGAAAATGCTACTTTTAATCATTTTAGCACTTGCAACTGCTGTTTTCTTTTTTGTAAATACGAAATTATGAAAAAGACAGTATCAAATTATTGTGAGTAAACCCTTCGATTTATTAACCCTTTCCCCTCGACTGTCCCACAGGGAGGGACATTTTAATTTTCTCTTTCCGTTCGTATGTCCCTCCTGGTGGGACATCTGAGTAGCATACAAGTTTGACGATCGTACGGCTCACCCAGAGGAACATAACGTTATCGGATAAAGGCGATTTGAAAAAAAACGCAGCCACAAAGTGATTTCTATAAATAAATTTGGCAAATTTGGTAAACGACACTGAAATTTTATCTGATTGGAAAGGGTTAGATCGCAATCACTCTTCAGCATGTCAGACTTTTGAGGCAGTTTGCTTTTCACCTCTGTTCAGTTTGGCCCCTTTATTCATCAGACATAAGAAAGTGAAAAGTATTACTTTCCTGAGAGGGTAGTGGATGCATGGAATAGCCTTCCAGCTGAAGTGGTAGAGGTTAACACAGTAAAGGAGTTTAAGCATGCGTGGGATAGGCATAAGGCCATCCTAGCTATAAGATAAGGCCAGGGACTAATGAAAGTATTTAGAAAATTGGGCAGACTAGATGGGCCGAATGGTTCTTATCTGCCATCATATTCTATGTTTCTATGTTTCTATGTTTCTAAAAATCATTTTTAAGATAGTTAACAATACGGAGACAGAAATTATAATAAAGAAATTTTTTTGAATAAATCCAATGAAGATTCCTAGGATTTATACATTAAATAATTACAGGATTATTTAGCAAATGTATTTCCATGAATTCATAGTGAACAATTGGAAGCAAAGAAGATTGGGAGAATTTTTCCAGTTTAGCAATACAATTTAAGCCCTTAAAAGTCTGGACCTCACATTTGAAATGTACTGTGAATTCCCTGAAATTCTCTCTTTAGTGAGTTAACCCGGTTAGTCTGCGTGAGGTGAGCCAAAATAGATTAGTCAAAGCAGTTCAGTAGGATACAATCTCCAACCTTGCTGAGAGGGAATAAAGTTTAATCTCAGAGTTTTTTCAACTCACTCATAAACTTAGTAGAAGTAGTAAAATTTAATTTAGGGGTCTAATTCTATAAACTGTGCTTGTGGTGTGCTGATAAAAATCTTTACCAAGGTTGGAGAATTTTTTTCAGATAGACCTTCATAATCTACATTTAGCAAGTCTGTTATAAACCTGTCACAGCTCATTGCTTACTGAGACCCCCAAAGACATATGAACATTCTGTGCTATTAGAGTTATCAAGCAATGAGATTTTCACACTGAAATCCCAATAGATGTCTAAAATATCTCTAGATGTTAGATGCAAAAAGCAGGACTGTCACAAAGGAGCAGTAGAGAGCAGCTGAATAATATAACAATAAAATACAATTTTTTTTTTAAATTTAACAAGGATCCCTCCTTAACCCCTTCAAGTCAAGTTGTTAGCCAAATTCCTTTATTTCATGACAATCTTGGTAAGTCACATGTCACGAAACAGGCTTCTACACTGCACAATTAGCATGATTTTCCCCATTTTGATGATAATTTTGTTGTTTTTAGATATTTGCCCAATGCATTCTGTCCTCCCTGTATTCTCTGAATCTGACTTAATGACATAGCTAACTGACTTTGTGGAGATCCCTCCTGTGGTTAAATGTGCCTACATTGGTATTGTATCAATGTAACATGTGAAAATGATTAATTATTAAGTTTACCATGTTCTGTCTGAAGATTGGAGCAGGCTGCATATTGTCTTCATGTGAACAAAGAGATGCATTTTCCATGAAGTTGAAAGTGTTTTCTGTGTGGGGTTCTGGTTGAAGGTAAGCATTCACAAACAACTGATCCAAAAAGCTCAAAGGTTCCTCCTGAGAAATGCAATTTGGGAGTTGGTTGGTCTGAAAGTGACAGCTTGGTGCAGTTGGTATAACTTGACAATCATTATAAATGTCTAGGATTAAAAAAAAAAAAAATACCATAGTCAGTTTAATGCACACAACCATATATTTGCATATCAAACGCAATAAACAGCTATCATTTGCATAAACCTGTTTGATTTGAACAGCAGAATTATAGTTTGTGGCATATGTCAGAACAGCTTAAGTCAATAAACTATTGCCCCTCATAATAAAAACACACAACTTCAAAACATTGTTTCTTTGTTTAGATCAAGACTTTATTTACCCTAAAATTTTATTACAAATCATAATTAAAGGGAAAACAATGTGAATGAATGACAATATGTCTGACTTTTATTTTTTAACCATTTAGAAATGATCAGAATATAAGCCACACTACAACTAACAAAATGAGGATGTTTGGATTTGAGCTGGATAAATTAAATTTGGAGTCACTCAGGCACATAGAACCATATTTAAAAGGCATATCCAATTGATAATTGTGTAAAGTCTTGTTATAACTATATTGCTCAGTGATAAATAAAATGTTGACATTCTTTCATATTCATGTTTTTATTTTTATGTTATGAATGATCAGCAATTGAACATGACTTAAGACACAGTGTAAAAGGGGCAGTGCTCTTAACAAGGAAAAGATAACATGATCAAGTCTCTTTTATTTATTTTTTTCAACAAAGAAATCTGTCTAATCATTTTAAAACCAGGAATATGCTTTTTTTATATATATATATATATTTAAAACAACAACTCCCAAGAGAACCTTTTGTTTGGGCAAGCAGATTAAAATATGCAAACTGGGGGTATTTAAAATAAAACAACCTTAAATGGCTATCCTGTTGCCCTCATCTGCATTCCTTTTTACCCTTTTCCAGATCTGATTGGTTGGAATAATTATTGAGTGGATCTGAAGTCCAGGCTATAAGCTTTGAAACTTCTATGTTAAAAAAGATTTCACTGTGACTTTGCTGTGATGATTTTTTTTTCTCACCAACCTGAATAGAGAGGGGATGGATCACAAATCTGAATTCTTTGCTCCTGGTTTTCCTGTAAAATATGAATTAATATAATTATTTTTATTTATTTTTTTAAATAAGCAAAAAAAAATTATATTCATTTTTAAAGAAAATTATTTGAGGGAGATATCTCACATCAATACAATATATTTTAATACATTTTTTTTTTTATTATTTGGAAGAAACTGAAATCATCCTACTGGGGGTTTTAAAGCACTGAGAGGTAAGTGTACTGAAATTATTCTTTATATTTACACCGCAGACATAAGGAGAGGATCTTCACTGAGGCTGATGCCCTTGGCTGCAAATCATGAATTCGATCCTTTTAAATAAAAATTACTTTGTTTTTGCAGGCGATAGAGCTCTGCATATTTATTATTATATCACAAAGAATTGGGCAACAAAGCACATAACATACACAAAAACATTTAAAGAAATAGATATACAGCTCTGTATTTTTTGTTTGAAAAAGCCCCACGAATACAAAAATAAATAAAACAGACAAACGGATGCTACACTTCACACACAGACAAACAGAGCCAGCCTAGTTTGAAGATGGGTCAGAATAATGTGATACATGTATGATAGATTTATAATCACATGTATGAATAAATACAATAAAATCATGGCAATGGAGTATTGCTGCTTATTTCACATGGTTTCAAATGTTTAGATTCCTAATTAGATCCCGGTAGAATTCTGGAGTTAAAGGGCTCGCCTGTTCCAGCACACAGATGGTTAATGTTTAAAGGGACTGCGGTGTAGTTGGGTGTTAACTGTGTAATCAGAGGGAAGGGAATCTTAAAGTCCCACTGTCTGAATGGGAGTGTTCTGCTATTGTTAGCAGTAAAACAGATCCCTGCTTTCAGTGTCACGAACCAGGAAGGAGAACGATTTACCTGGCAGCCTCTAATGTATATAATCCTGGCTGCAGATATTTTACAATAGTAGTTTTTTTTTTTTTCGTTTCTTTTGTATGTGTTTATGATTTGGGTTTTATTTTTTATTCATTTTGTATCCAGAGTTTTTATAAAATGTTTACAGTCACTGGGAAACTGAGAAACTGGATGTGTTTATGTGTAAAGCATGTTAGAATGAATACTGTGAATTATTGCTATCTCCTACCAAGATGCAATTCCACCCTCTTTACAGCTGATTGTAGTAGATTGAAAATCATATTGCAAAAATGAAACACAAAGTTGGACAAAGTGCCCAACTGAGCTGCAGTAATGTTTGCGTGTTTGTTTGTTTTGAAAACAAGTTATATAAAGTATGTTTTAAATTGTGCGGCTGTTAACCCACGGGTAGTGTGATACTCTGATACTTTGTTTCTATATAATAGTAAGCGTGTTAATATATGGTCTGTAACTACCTTCAGCTGACTAACTAGCTTCAATTACACATTCATTCTTCTCCACGTATTGTCTGCCAGTCTCTCTGTCTGAATGTCTCTTTGTCTGTATGTCTATCTGCCTGTCTCTCTGTCTTTCTGTCTGTATGTCTATCTGCCTGTTTCTCTGTCTGTTTTTCTGTCTGTATGTCTCTCTGTCTGTATGTCTATCTGCCTGTCTCTCTGTCTGTCTGTATGTCTACCTGCCTGTCTCTCTGTCTTTCTGTCTGTATGTCTATCTGCCTGTCTCTCTGTCTTCCTGTCAGTATGTCTATTTACCTGTCTCTCTGTCTTTCTGTCTGTATGTCTATCTGACTGTTTCTCTGTCTTTCTGTCTGTATGTCTATCTGCCTGTTTCTCTGTCTGTCTTTCTGTCTGTATGTCTCCCTGTCTGTAAGTCTATCTACCTGTCTCTCTGTCTGTCTGTATGTCTACCTGCCTGTCTCTCTGTCTTTCTGTCTGTATGTCTATCTGCCTGTCTCTCTGTCTTCCTGTCGGTATGTCTATTTACCTGTCTCTCTATCTTTCTGCCTGTATGTCTATCTGCCTGTCTCTCTGTCTTCCTGTCAGTATGTCTATTTACCTGTCTTTCTGTCTGTATGTCTATCTGCCCGTCTCTCTGTCTTTCTGTCTGTATGTCTATCTGCCTGTTTCTCTGTCTTTCTGTCTGGATGTCTATCTGCCTGTTTCTCTGTCTTTCTGTCTGTATGTCTATCTGCCTGTTTCTCTGTCTGTATGTCTACCTGCCAGTCTCTCTGTCTTTGTCTGTATGTCTATCTGCTTGTTTCTCTGTCTATCTGTCTGTATGTCTACCTGCCAGTCTCTCTGTCTTTGTCTGTATGTCTATCTGCTTGTTTCTCTGTCTATCTGTATGTATGTCTACTTGCCAGTCTCTCTGTCTTTGTCTGTATGTCTATCTGCTTGTCCTTCTGACAGTTTTATGCCTGTAGCACTGTCTTTCCTTCTGTTTGTCTGTTTCTGCCTCTTTCTTTCTGTCTTGCTGCATGTCTCTATGTCTGTCTGTCTCTGTTTCTTTCTATCTCTGTCTCCTAGTCCTCAGCCACCTTCTGTCTTGTTGCTTTTTTTCTCTTTCACCCAACATATATGTGACTTTCTTTCTTTCTGTCTTTCTGTCTTTCTTTCTTTCATCCTTTCTTTCTCTCTCTCCCTCCCTTATTCTCTCTCATCTTTCCCTCTCTCTCGCTCACATTTCCTTATTTCTCTCTCTCTCTCTATTATCTCTCTCTCATATTTCCTTCTTTCTCTGTCTCTCTCTCTCTTATATTTCCCTCTCTCTCTCTCTCTCTCTCTCTCTCTCATATTTCTCATATTTCCTTCTTTCTCTGTCTCTCTCTCTCATCTTTCCTTCTCTCTCTCTCTCTCTCTCTCATATTTCCTTCTTTCTCTGTTTCTGTCGCTCTCTCTCTCGCTCTCTCTCTCATATTTCTCATATTTCCTTCTTTCTCTCTCTCTTTCTCTCTCTCTCTCTTATCTTTCTCTCTCTCTCGCTCTTATCTTTCCCTCTTTCGCTCACATTTCCTTATTTCTCTCTCTCATATTTCCTTCTTTCTCTGTCTCTCTCTCTTATCTTTCTCTCTCTCTCTCTTATCTTTCCCTCTCTCTCTCTCTCTCTCATATTTCCTTCTTTCTCTGTCTCTCTCTCTTATCTTTCCTTCTCTCTCTCTCTCTCTCTCTCTCTCTCTCTCTCTCTCTCTCTCATATTTCTCATATTTCCTTCTTTCTCTCGCTCTCTCATATTTCCTTATTTCTCTCTCTCTATTATCTTTCCCTCTCTCTCTCTCTCTCTCTCTCTCTCTCATATTTCCTTCTCTCTCTCTCTCTCTCTCTCTCTCTTCCTTCCCATCATTCAGAGTGTTGGACATATTTCTGGAGCCACACACACAAGCCAAACAAAGAAGTTATCCTCTTTACACAAAGTACAGTAACCAGTCCTATTAATAATTACTCATATCTGGCCTAGGATCTGCTAGGTGAGAAATGCAAACAGAGCTGTGTGTCTAATGAGCAGAGCTGGTAAGAATAGCAGCTAGTTTTATTTCAACACCCAGCTCCAATACCACCCTCTCTGCTAACACAGCAATGGGACAAAGGTTCTTACTGAAACATTCTTTTCTGCTTGGAGAGCCCTTCTTTGTTGCAACAATTCTTTAACCGTGATCTTAACTCTAACTCCTTGGTACACCTTTGGTTTGGCTGAAAAACAGAACAAAAAAAACAACAACACATTTAGAGTTTACATCATGAGAAAAACAAACAGGACATGTCCTAAATAAGGAGCAGACATTAAAGCAGGGTGTGGCCAAAATTAAACACACCCTCTACATGGACAACTGCAATCCTCATCATGCATTGTCAGCCTTCACACTGGGAGTAAATAATGGGAACTGCAGCCCAAGAACAGTGGGTGCTCTGCATTTTGGTCTTTCCAGAATTCAGATCTTTACATGTTGTTATAGAATTTCCTTGCATGTAATTTTATCTTGGCTTCTCCAGTAGACCTCAGGTTAGTTGTCAGAGTTTTCACAAACTATCCCAGTACATACACTACAGTGTGGCACCAGGACATTCATTGCACCATAACCACTACAGTGCACTAAAAGGGTTAAGGTGTGAAATTTTAAAGAATCATGTTATATAAGAGGTACATATTACTGAAGTATGTAATAGAGGAAAATAATATCTTCTCAACGTTCTGCCGTATTTTCCCGATCCTTGGCCATTATGCAAAAGGTTTAAGATTGAGTCTAAAGTTATGACTAGATTTATGACTGGTGGTAGGGATCCTTTAATCTTAGGGAAGCATGGAGACATACATGCCTTTGTTCCCCCAGATCTGGAGGGAGTTAACATTCTGGGCAGCAGGTGCAGACACTTATCTGGATAATGATATGGTGAGAGAGGACCTGAGGAGACAAAACCTGCTACTGTCACCTCAGCTCTTCTCCCAACATACATTGCACTAAGGAGTGTGTGCTAAATTATTATAAATGCAAGCTGCAAATAGCTGCTCTTGCCCTGAAAATCATATATATCCAAGAGATTAAGAGCTCTAACAGTGAACTATGGCAGTCAAACCATAAATGATTACATATAATATTCCCAGTAATGCATTGCATACATTTATATTGTTGATTGTAGAGTACTGATAGTGGTGGCTGGGTTGCTCTTCAGTAAACAGCAATTCTAGACTCTATTAGAATCACAGGCTGTTGGTAGAAGATGTACACATGGATCTGTGGATAAACCTTGTGCTTTTGGTTTCAAACTTAACGCTATTTGCCCAAATTCTGAGTGATAGGCAGTTGGTCCGAATTCTGTAACTTCCAAACATCATATGGAACATAAAGCATAAAACAATTAAAATGGACAAACAGTTTGGATTGTTTTGTTATTCAGAGATCTGCCGTTAGCGCCAAAAATGATTGATCGGAAAAATGAGGATCGTTGGTTAGTGGACGGCAAATAAATATTGATTTTATTCACAGATCAAGTGATAAGTGAGCAGTGGGGGTAAAAAAGAAGAAACAGTGAAAAGAATATACCCTGTACCCAAATTTCATCACCCTCAACTCTCCAATCTCGCAGGAACCTCCACTGCCTTGATCTCCAGCATTTATCCACCAAACTCCAAACTCTCCTTTTACGCATCTCAAACCGCACCTGCCCTAACTCTGCTACCTCACTCTACAACTCCACTCTATCTTCTCAACTAGACATCATGGCACCTCCTACATTTAAACACAGCAAGCGCCCCCAATTACAACCCTGGTGCACCAAGCTGAACCGATATCTCAAAAAATGTTCCAGAACTGCTGAACGCTGTTGGAGAAAGTCTCACTCTGCACCTGACTTCCTCCACTATAAATTTATGCTGCGCCCCTGCACTCTAACTCTTTCCTCTGCAAAAGTAGATTACTTCACCACCCTCATAAGCACACTGTCCGGCCAATCCAAATCCCTATTTAACATTGGCTTTCATCCCTGCCCCCATGACTCCGCTCCTGCAACTGTCAAAAATAACCTACTAAGTTCCCAGTGAATACATTTCTAGCAACCTATTTCATTACCCCTACTTATACAATTTGTGTCACTATACCCCACTTCCTCTAGCATGTAAGCTCATTGAGCAGGGCCCTTAACCCCTCTGTTCCTGTGCATCCATTTGTCTGGTTACAATTACATGTCTGTTAGTCCACTAATTGTACAGCGCTACGGAATTTGCTGGTGCTATATAAATAATAATATATAAAATATATAAATAGAGACTAGTTTTTACTGATTCTCTCCCCCCCCACCCCCCCACATCAGTTACTATTTCTCACCTGATCTGTGAACCAAATGGCAGTAGAATGAATCAGCTTACAGCAAAATGTACACGTAATACATATATTTATATTATGTGTATATTTTGCAGTACACTTGCTGGCCTTTCCAATCAGTTTGGTTCATCTGAATCCCTTTTCCTGAAATGATTGGATTGATGAAATGTATCTGATCCAAAACGCAACATTGGTGAATCCCAAACTGACCGGACAAATCGATTCAGCCAATCCAAGTGTTTTCACTGTGTACCAGACTCATAAATGATATGTAACTTAAAATTGTCTATTTAAAGGAACAAGCAATATGGATAACAAGGTCAGCTTCAGGTACATACTTACATTGTTACACTTTATATAGCTTAAATAGATACTTACCTGTGACAATTATTATCACAATGGTTGTGGCAATGTGAGTGGATGCAAGCATTAATACCGCAGTAAAAACGTGGTTATCATACACAGTGTAATTACCTTTAGTTATCACACAACCAATTAAACCATACGGTTTTAAAATAATATTTTATGCACACATGAAAGCAATACTATAGTGTCAGGAATACAAACATGTATTCCCAACACTACAGTGTGAATTAACTATTTAGATCCCCAACCCCCCTCTAATCGCATGGCAAAGGTGTTTTTACTCACTTTTTTCCTACATCATGACGGTCTTGTTGTGTCTGGCCCTGCCTGGCTCCTCCTGCATGGGTGAGATCATCAGTCTTGATGATCTCAGCCAATCCAGTGCTTTCCCATAGGAAAAAAAACATTGCGTTCCAGTGGTTCTGGTGACTATAGTGCCCCTTCAAATTGTTGCTTGAGTGCACTTGCTAAGTTTAGCAGTCTCATACGGTAGGTATATTTATCTACAATTTCCCCCCCGCACTGCAATCAAAGCGTGCAACCATAAATGTTGGTGGGACTTGAATGGTTTTAAATCTACAAATAGCAACCAGTATGTCTTTTGCTCTCCCACTCAGTAAGTCCCTTCACTGTCTGTCTGCTTCGGACCCCACATTCATTGCTTACTTCCAGGTTTCAGACCTCTGTATTGGCGTGATGATATGTCAAAAGTGTCAGAATCACTGACGCGTTTCACCCAGCCAATCAGGCTTCATCAGAGCACTTACCAAGTCTACCAATTTTCTTTCTCTTATATACCCTTATTGATATTACCAATGTTTATACAGTCTTATAAAAGTTTTATATCTTATTCAGTCCTTATTAATAAAAGTTCAATAGATACATTTTGCAACAAGAATACATTCTACCACAAGAGAATGTATTCACATAATTCCTGACTAACTTATAAAGAATTTTATTTATTTTTATCTTTAGGATCCATGGACTATCCCAGGTAATGCTTTAATTAGGACAATATGGATTCTTTATAAATTAGCCAGGGATTACGTGGACTGGAATGGATGCTATTGTGCAATGCTGGCAGGTGCTGGACTGAAGACTTGCACCATAAAAACATAAGTTTAATGAAGTTGTTATAGTGTCCAAACTGTCCCTTTAATGAGTTAGACGACTTTTAGAATTTCCCCCTAGTAAACTTTTCCCCCCGATATTATATGTCTGCTGCAAACTCAGAGCCATTAAACATTTAGTGGTCAGGCTCCTTAGTATAAGCTATTCCTGAATAAGGCACTTTAAGCAACATAACTACTCACACTCTCTGGAGGCGTGTCATCCCAGCACTGTTAGCCAATCATTGTCATCCAGATTGGACAAAATGGACATTGATAATATGAAGTGCATTTTTGGTGCAGTAGAGGAGGGGGCGGCCCCTCTGTTGCAAGTTTGATATGGAACCGAGAGGGGCGTCAGAGTGAGCTATATTTATGTTGTGTAGACTGCCTCTTTAAGAATATCTCAGTTATACCCATTATTGTACTTGTTCTAATGTTTCCTATCCATAATGCTGAATAGCTGAATGATTATCAGATGGGTAATATTTATTTAGTCTCGTTTTCTGGGCTCCAATGTTTGAAGAAAACTGTAATCTATTGTGTATTGTGTTTAGCAGTAGGCAAACCATTTCCTTTTTCCTTCTAGTATTTGAAGATGAATATTGTTTTCATATTACCTCCCATCTTCACCTTCGCCATCAATCTTGTTGCAATTTATCATTTATACATGTTAATACCTACAAACATAGACATGTACCTTCTAACCAGCCAACACTCATAATTCACTGCAAAGGAGACTACATAACCACTAATGGAGCTGGGCATATAATACCCTTTATTGCTTATTCAGTAAACTCTGTATTTTAGTAAATTGAAACATTAGCCTAAAATAGTTGATTTAGAAATACACATTCTACAATTTTGCAGTAGTCACAGGTTCTTTTTTCCAGCTTAACCCTTTAATGACTCATGACGGAACTTTTCCGTCACACTGGCTTTTTACTTCTGAAGCTGTGTCCTTAAGGGGTTAAACCTTTCCCTTTTGATTTTGGGGTTCTACACTTTGGCGTTTGTTGAATAACCCATATTATTATTTATATTCTCCACCCATTGTACAGCGCTACGGAATTTGCTGGCGCTATATAAATAATAAAATAATAAAATATAATATATTGTATACTGTATATGTTCTAGACATGGTCTTTAAAACACAGGCTAAATTTTTCTGTGGGTAGAATTGAGGCGATATTTATGAAGAAGGTTTTATACAATTGCACAGTAAGATCCCGGACTGATTGATTCATTCAGGCTTAGATTAAAAGAAATTTGATTTGTTTGTGCCAGCTGAAAGTAATTTGTCTATGTTATGTCATATGAATCAATTGTCCTTTCAATTCCCTGTCTCTATGCCCTGTGTGGGCAGTTTTAAAAGAGCTTGTGTTAGTTTGTTATTTTTAAAGAAAAGAATAATGACTTTATCTTACATCTGGTAATTGTAGATTATAAAAAATATATATATATTTTGAAGTTTAATTTTTTTTATTTATTTTTTTCTCAGAGGGCAAACACTAATGTGTTGTACAAGTCTGTGATAAGAATTGTACATAATATTCAAGTAACACCATGAAAATGTCATATGTTCCAGAATTCATGTATGATCTGGTCTCCCTAGCCAGCTGGTATATACAGGTAGTCAAGCAGACCTTAAAACGACTATTCTAAACACTATAACAAAAACTACTCTTGGACTGTAATGAGAGACTGTCAGGGTTCTTACGTTAAGTGTGAATTGTTGGAATTCAGAGGATTGCAAATATTGGTGGAAAATAGCTACAATGGAACAATTATCCAAGTCCATTTATAATTTGTCTATTTTCGGTTAAATTTCCTTTGCATTTACTTGGAATTGAAGACATGTCACACTTTATTGAATAACCCATCTAGAGTCCTGAATCGTGAAATTCACCACTGACAAATTATCATTGCTGCTAATGTTTTGGATGGTTTTGTAATTAAACTTTATTGTTATCTGACTAGCAGAGAGACTGAACGTAGTATGCCAAGAGAGCATCATTTTAATGGAACAACTCAGAAACAGCATGACATTAAATTGCTACGCAAAGTTCCCTTGCACTACAACCATTAAAACAAGTTGTTATGGTGCATACTGCGTCCCTTAAAGCATGCGCATTCCTCCTCTATGCTATTTGATACAAGAAGATTCCTATGAATCTAGCCACAGTAAATGTTTTGAACCCATGTTATACACACAATGAGTTTGGATGGATGCATATACACCAGTGATGGCTAACCTTGACACCATAAATTGTTTCTAGACTACATTTCCCATGATGCTAAGCTAACTTTTAGACTCTGAAAGCTAGCTGAGCATCATGGGAAATGTAGTCCAGAAACTATTTATGGTGTCAAGGTTAGTCATCACTGATTTGCACCCACAGCTTTTTTTTCCCCTTTTTTTCTTTTTGTATGTCATTTGCATATATTGCAAGATAATACAAAAATGTACGTTTCCAAGAAATGTGATACTGTGTGTATAATATAGCAATGCAAACACAATACATTGTCAAGGCTTTTTACTACAGTGAGAATTCAAAGCGAATTTCACATTTAAAGAGAAAATATCTGAACTGATAGCACAGCTCAGATAGCTCAGATATTTTTTCCAATTCAGATATTTTCACCTTAAATTTGAAATTCATTTGAATTCTCAGCCTAGTGAATAACTCTGTTATTGTATTCTCTTAAAAGTGGCCCCATGGCACTTAGTTTGACAACTGAATCCAATGCGTAGAATTCTTTATATTCGTATTATTGCATTTCCTTAGTATTTGTTGAGTAACATTTTGTGCACTGTAGCTATGTTTGCCAAATCCACCATCCAACTATAGGAAGCATGAATAGGCGATATTAGACAAAATAACAGGGGCATTAACCAAAGTGAGAATTTAAAGAAAATTCAAAGTGAATTTGAAATTTAAGGCCAGAGGAGCCAAACTGAAAGCTTAGCTGACTGAGAGAATTATTCCAGTTTCACTATTTTGGCCGAAATTTGGAATTCGCTTTAAATTCTCCCTTTAGTGAATATCACTGATGGTGTATCTGATGGTGTTGTGGTGAAGCAGGGCCTGACTCTCTGATTATGATTGCTAGAAACTATTACAAGCCCCAGACTTTAGGGGGTTTATTCAATAAACTCCAAATTGTAATGCATTTAAATCCGAACTGCAAAAATTCCAGAAAATAAATAAAAATCTAATTTGGAAACTTTCTCTGGCTCCGATATGGTGCCACAATTTGGGGATTTTAAACTGATGTTTGCAATCTGGCTTTCAATTCACTCCAATTCGCAGGTTAGTAAAGACACCCCAGTGACATAAATGAAACTTTCTTACAAAGATGTTAATCCTTTCTTAGAATCTCATTTTTGTAAAGAAGCATTTCATAACCTTAGTAGATATTTTCAACAAGGTACCCCTGAATATAAATCACCTACCCAAAAAGTCCCATTAGTAGCAAGTGTTTGTATCCATTAACTCCCAAATTAACCACTTAGTAGAATATACCTTTTAATCTTTCAGTTTTTACAAAATGCTCACATGGAAGGCTTAGAAACACTGCTGAATGAGGCAAATGTGGGCCTTAACCCCCAGGTCCTGTAACAAGCAAGGGCTTTCAAGATAAGGCGCTGAAAGGGTTAAATGCCATGATACAATGTATCTACTGAGACTGAAAGCTTCTCAGTTTATCTGGAAAAACATTGCAGCTAAAATGTAGCTTTGGGGTTCGTTAAAAGAAACACATTCTAGTTCACTACTCCTTTCAGTTTATCCTTTGGGGGCCTATTCACTAAACAGTGAAAACACAGAACTAACAACCAAACCGAAATATTCAAAACACCATTTTTTTTCCCAACCTCTCCTATTGGTCTGCCATGTGGTCTAGATATTTAAAGTCAGTCCTGTCTACTCCCTACTGACTGCATTATTATTAATACTATAACCACTGTATGAACACTACTATAACTGCACTATTGTTACTACACGTGCACTGATATCACTATCTGACTGTGGTGGGGGTTGGCTGAAATCCTGCATTAAGTGGATAAACCCCTAAAGCCTTCATGCACTGTCTGCTATCTTTCCAAATCCAATCTGTAGAATTATTGCTCTTTTTACTAGAATATAAGGCATTAATTTACTCCTACTGCATCTCCCTAATACTCTACAGCAGGTGTGCCCAACAGGTAGATCCCCAGATGTTCTAGAACTACAACTCCCAAGATGCTTAGCATCCCTTTAGAATGACAAAGCATCATGGAAGTTGTAGTTTTAAAACATCTGGGGATCTATCTTTTGGGCACCCCTGCTCTGCAAAGACCCTTTGCTGACTGTATGGTTCTGTGACACTGCCACAGTGAGCTTACAAAGTATCCTCTAGCAATAATTACATTTACACATTTACATTCATTCACCCCTTCATAAAATAGAAAGTGTCTGACTGCTGTTTCCTGAATTCTAATTATTCTAGCCATAACAAACATCTCTGTGTCAAGCAATCGCCCACTTAATAAAGGAGACACCATGTTACCATTAGCTATCATTGTTCTGGCTGTCAAAGCGTGATAGGAGTTACAGTTCTACAACTGGATATCTGTGGATTGGCTTCCTCTATTATACAGTGAACACACATGCATATTGTGAAACTACAACTACCATGAAGCTCTGCTTTATGGCTGTCTAAGGCTCATGGGAGTTGTAGTCCTATAACAGCCGATTGTCTTTTTTTTTCAGCCAGCTCTGGTGCATCACCCTTATCTATTCTTAATCTCCTTTTGATATAAAAAAATATATCTGGGTACAGAGTCGTAAATGAACTAAGCCACTAGCTTTTACGACAAAAGAAAAAAAAAAAAAAAACAGACTTTTCCAGTTCTGTTGGAAGGTTTTCAAAGCTGTGAAAGCCCTGTGTGTATGTGATCCTTTACTACAGAAATATATAAAATAATAATGCCTCCAACAAATCTTCCATCATGTGAGAAGAGCTGTGATAGACTGGGTTTGGGACTGCAGAGAGGTAAGTAGCTGTTTGTGTGTGTAAACAATGTTACAGTAGGTACAAACTAAGAAGTAGACCTCTCCTGCTTTCTGTAGAATCATGGCTCCCTCTCCACGTGTGTGTCTATGCGGAAGTACAATGAAGAGACACCAGGTCTACATTTAACAAGTGCCTCTCAATAAACACTTTACTGTGTGCACCATGGGCTGCTGGAAAACCTACCTGGAAAAAACTACCCTGAGTTACCCTGATCCAACTCTCACAAAACTCTCATTTAACCCCTGGCTAGAACAGTCTGCTGACACTCAAACAGTTAAATGGGGTTAAAGGGGTTAATCTGCCATCAGCTATTTAATAAAATAATAGTGCTGGCAGTTATATATCTATAAATATACAGTAATCAAACTTTTCCCAAAATAATGTAAAAATGTATTAACAGCCCATAAAGAGGCGACATTAATGTATTATTTTTTTATTTAATTTCAAAATTTATTGTAATTATATAATGTTCGTGTGGCAGGAATTTATGGGGATAAACTATAGAAAGAGCAGCCAAAATGATTGCGTTCTAGATTCTAATGTGGTTAAGTGGGATGTAAAGAAAAAAAAAGAAACATTCGATCGATACAAATAAATAACAAATGGAACTAGTGTGAATGTTTAGTAAATAACTGTATCCAGGTGTTTTTAGAACACACACACACAGTGCATTTCATTGGGTCATTAAAAGCCAAGTTTCCTTATAAGTGGGCTATGATTTTCTGCACACAGAATCTTCTATTACATGCACAAACTCTAATAGTCGTATATAACACATGAATTATTTTATAGCATGGGTAGAATATACTATATTAAATCATCAGTCACATAAAATGCAGCGTTGCACATTTAGTACTATATCCTGACAATTATTGCACCTGGCTTAATTACTGCAGAGCAGTGGGCATGGTGTTTAAAACTAAAATCGTGCTAGTGTTGAATTAAAACTATGCTGTGCATGAAACTGATTTATTTGATATATTTCAATAAATATGCCAAGCTCTCTTTAATAAACATGCCAGACTTTGTTAACACTGTTCCAGGGGCAGGGTAAAGTGTACACATAGATGTCATATACATATTCATACAGCAATACACAAGGTAGGGACTTCCTGTATAAGGGACCCCCAATACGGTCAAGGGCTCTGACTGTAACCGAAAGAAATGCTTTCTAGTCGGATACAATGTTGCAATTAGGTCCCTCAACAGCGACACCTGCTGGTAGATAGGAGTATTGCAATAAAGTTACTCCAAGGCTGTAACCTGCAGGCTCCGAGCGCTGTGCGGAGTTTGGATGATCAACTCCCGGGGACAAGCCACCAGAACCGGGTTACAGGGACCTCAAAGTGACCCAGCTCCTGCTTCATAAATGGGGAGGAGGGAGGAGGCAAAAGCCGGCTCTGATCGCTGTCCTTACCAAGGGGGGAACAGAAACGCCCAGTTTTAACGGTCAGAGATGGGGGGATTTACTAAACACTCATTTCCAATCATTTTTTTTTCTGTGTCTAATTTTACTTGGATGTCACTAAAATTCACTTGATATGCAGTCTGCATTCACATGATCACTGAATTCTCACTATCCAATTGGTGAAATAAACAATGACTGGGAAAGTCAGTTAGAAAAAACTAAATGGGCGAATGAAAGAGTTAATAGTTTATAAAAATATTAAACTTGTTACATTGTTGCTGGTCTTGCTACATTGTTGCAGATCTGACTAAAAATAAATACATTATGTCTCTGTGCTACCAGGCAGGCTTAAATTAATCATGATTGTGGAATTACTAAATCTCTGTACAAATCTGCATTCTCAATCCTGTCGACTGCAATCATGCTTTAAATGTACACTCAGAACTTAGAACAAAAAAAAAAAAACCAACAAAAATATTGCTTAATCGTATTTTTCAAAACAACTATAAATATGCATTTAAAATTAAATAAGAAGCTTTTTTGCATTTTATTTGCATTCAGAAAATTGCATCTAATGACTTATTTTTTCTTTTTTTTAAAGGCAGAAAAGAAGGGAGAAAAAAATGAAAAAAAATGAAAAAATCTGAATTTACAAGAAAATGCAAAAAATAATATGAAAATTAACTTACCAGACATTTGGGAAGATTAATTCGTTTTTTTTTTTCTTCAAAAAGCCAGAAAAATACACTGATGAGACTCTATTCAACAGCCAGAGCCCTTCACTTATAGTAGGAAAATAAGATACAAAGTTTCTAATTCTTCAAAATTCACAAAATAAATCAAGTTACTTTGCTCCAATTCAGACAGAAGATATACAATACAAATGTATTATACCTACAGATATATGATTGAAATTTTCTCCCACCAGGCCATCTATTTAAAAAGCCTAGAATCCAATGATTTGACAATCTATGATTGCGCGATAGTTTCAATTTGAATATTCAAAGGCTTAACAAAAAGACAGATCTTTTTTTGAAACAAAGCACTTCCACATTTAACTGAGGGTCTTTGGGAATAAGAATTGATGTCAATCCCTCCCACTGCCCTATTTTTTTCAAGATATTTAACATTTTATGCACCTTTCCCCAAAATTAGCTGTACCCAGACAATTATCCTCAGTATCTTTAAATGTGAAGAATGCACACAGCCAGTGACCTGGTATACTATACAGACTAACTATTCTTAATGTGTTGGGGTAGAAGAGAATATTTTGGGGGGCTAGGTTGGGGTGATTTAGGGTTTTTTGGGGTTGTATAGCTGGTATATGAACAGCAGTGGGCGTGGCCCAGCAGCATACTCAGTGCTGGAGCACAATGTGACTGAGAAATAGGCCAGGCGCCTTGCTCTCTCTCTACTGGACTGGATTCAGCAATTTTACAGTAAAAAGGACAACTTTTACATGTATATTATAATGCTCTTCACATCCCAGCAGCTAATATTCACACTTTAGGAGGATTTTAGCATTTAATTTTCCTATTTCAATGCTGATAATGTTAAAAGAAATGTCTGAATCAGCTTAGATAGAAATCCATTTTACTGCAGCACTATGCAGGGAGAATCTAATATATATATATATATATATATATATATATTAGCAATACATATCATTATTCTAAATATTTATATAGACATAGCAATAATTAGCATTATTTTATATATTTATATATACATAGCTATTAGCACCTATCTCCCCAAATTAGATATGAACTTTGTGCATAGGTACACACACACACACACACACACACACACACACACACACACACACTCTCTCTCTCTCTCTCTCTCTCTCTCTCTCTCTCCATAAGTAAATTCATATAGGGGTATTCTGTTGTGTATAAATGACTTTGTGGACACACACACACACACACACACACACTATGAACCCTATATGTATTTATTTTATTTGTCTCTATATATGAAGTATAATATATTTATATATATAGAGATAGATATATAAATAGATACATAATTAGATGATAGATAAACAAACATATATATAGATAAACAGATAGAAAGATAGATAGATTATGTAAAGCCATATCTATATAATAATATATAATAATTTATATTATTCTGTTCTTTGTATAAGTAATAACAAAGTGCAGGTGTTTTAATCAAAACTGCTAAATTTAGCTCTGCGCTAACTGGGGTATAATTGTATTCTAGAATTATCCTCTCTCAGTTGCTAATTCAATATTCAAATAATTAAGCAAGATATTTTTAATTAATCTGCTAAAAACAGTCACCCATCGCTTTTCCAGATCTTTGCCATTAACAGTGTTTTGTACATTTGAGTACAAGCATTTTGTGTCAGATAGATGTACACACAACAAACTAAAATACACACACATCAAACAGAAACACACACATACATTTGTATTTTCCTATATATACCTAAATGTGTTCACACACACACACACACACACACACACACACACACACACATCACACACACACACACCCACACACGTGTACCCACACAGGAGGCACACGCTAGTATAGAAATCCAGTGTTTTATTTTTAATATTGTAATAATTGCAGTGTGTTGTTGTCTCCCAGCATTAAGACCCAGGTAGCTCAGCACATATACTTTGCACAATAGCACGTGTCAGCATTATGGATAGAGCTGTATGGGCTACTGTTAACAAGCATTGGAATGAATCCCATACCATTATTGCAGGGGAGTTAGGAGCCCCTTTGTGTCTGCATTCTGCTACTCCTATTCAGGAATCCACTGTTACATTGTCTGTTCTATTGAAACACATTACTTTCTATATCACACAGTAAACACACACATCGACACAGCTTTGTGAGATGTGTGCACACTGACTGTAAGTAAATAGAGAAATCCCCCAGGGCATTGTTTACTGGGTCCTTATGCACAATTTGCTGCAAATACATCTTAATACTGTAAGTTACTGCTTTATCACCTTTTGTCTAAATGTATCCTGCAATGTCAATATACACAACAGACACTGAATTCTGGCTTTCTCTTCTTTGCTCTCATAGAAAGCTGGCAATACAAAGCAGGCAGACACTGGGAGAGAATGCACTAAACAAGCTGGAAAAATGGTGTTAGAGAGAAAACAAAGGATGGAAAAAAAATGTAAGTCACATGCAGTGTATCTTTATATGACTTTATTATATAATTCAAATAGTAAACCTGCCTATACTTTATATAATTAATAACAAACTGCACCCCACTATACTATAATAACAAACTGCACCCCACTATACTATAATAACAAACTGCACCCCACTATACTGTAATACCATACTGCACCCCCACTATACTATAATACCATACTGCACCCCCACTATACTATAATACCATACTGCACCCCACTACACTATACCAACATACTGCACCCCACTATACAATAATACCATACTGCACCCCCACTATACTATAATAACAAACTGCACCCCACTATACTATAATACCATACTGCACCCCACTATACTATAATACAATACTGCACCCCACTATACTATAATACCATAATGCACCCCCACTATACTATACCAACATACTGCACCCCACTATACTATACCAACATACTGCACCCCACTACACTATAATACCATACTGCACCCCACTATACTATAATACCATACTGCACCCCCACTATACTATAATAACAAACTGCACCCCCACTATACTATAATACCATACTGCACCCCACTATACTATAACAACATACTGCACCCTACTACACTATAATAACAAACTGCACCCCACTATACTATAATACCATACTGCACCCCCACTATACTATAATAACATACTGCACCCCCACTATACTATAATAACAAACTGCACCCCACTATACTATAATAACATACTGCACCCCCACTATACTATAATAACATACTGCACCCCCACTATACTCTAATAACAAACTGCACCCCCACTATACTATAATAACAAACTGCACCCCACTATACTATAATACCATACTGCACCCCCACTATACTATAATAACAAACTGCACCCCACTATACTATAATAACAAACTGCACCCCACTATACTATAATACCATTCTGCACCCCACTATACTATAATACCATACTGCACCCCCACTATACTATAATAACAAACTGCACCCCACTATATTATAATAACAAACTGCACCCCACTATACTATAATAACAAACTGCACCCCACTATACTATAATACTATTTCAGCACCCCACTATACTATAATGTACCATTCTGCACCCCACTATACTACATATATAATACCATACTGCACAAATCTACTATACTATAATAACAAACTGCACCCTACCATATTATAATAACAAACTGCACCCTCTACTATACTATATATAATAACAAACTGCACCCCTACTATATTGTTAATACCATACTGCACCCCTACTATACTATATAAACAACAAACTGCACCCTACTCATACTCATATACCAAATAACATACTGCACCCCACTATACTATAATACCATACTGCACCTCCTTACTCATACTATAATACCATACTGCACCCCATTATACACAATACCATACTGCACCCCACTATACTATAATAATACCATACTGCACCCCACTATACTACTATAATACCATACTGCACCCCACCACCATACCAACATACTGCACCCCCACTATATACTATAATAACATACTGCACCCCACTATACTATAATACCATTCTGCACCCCACTATACTATAATACCATACTGCACCCCCACTATACTATAATAACATACTGCACCCCATTAAACTATAATAACAAACTGCACCCCACTATACTATAATACCATACTGCACCCCCATTATACTATAATAACAAACTGCACCCCACTATACTATAATACCATACTGCACCCCACTATACTATACCAACATACTGCACCCCGCTATACTATAATACCATACTGCACCCCACTATACTATAATACCATACTGCACCCCCACTATACTATAATAACAAACTGCACCCCACTATACTATAATACCATTCTGCACCCCACTATACTATAATACCATACTGCACAACCACTATACTATAATAACAAACTGCACCCCACTATATTATAATAACAAACTGCACCCCACTATACTATAATAACAAACTGCACCCCACTATACTATAATACCATACTGCACCCCACTCATACTATAAAACAAACTGCAACCCCACTACACTATACCAACATACTGCACCCCCACTATACTATAATACATACTGCACCCCACTATACTATAATACCATACTGCACCCCTCACTATACTATACCATACTGCACCCCCACTATACTATAATACCATACTGCACCCCCACTATAATATAATACCATACTGCACCCCACTACACTATACCACCATACTGCACCCCACTATACTATAATACCATACTGCACCCCACTATACTATAAAACAAACTGCACCCCACTACACTATACCAACATACTGCACCCCACTATACTATAATAACAAACTGCACCCCACTATACTATAAAACAAACTGCACCCCACTATACTATACCAACATACTGCACCCCCTCTATAATATAATAACATACTGCACCCCGCTTTAATATAATACCATACTGCACCCCCACTATACTATAATAACACACTGCACCCCACTATACTATAATACCATACTGCACCCCCACTATACTATAATAACAAACTGCACCCCCACTATACTATAATAACAAACTGCACCCCACTATACTATAATACCATTCTGCACCCCACTATACTATAATACCATACTGCACCCCCACTATACTATAATAACAAACTGCACCCCACTATACTATAATAACAAACTGCACCCCACTATACTATAATACCATACTGCACCCCACTATACTATAAAACAAACTGCACCCCACTTCACTATACCAACATACTGCACCCCACTATACTATAATACCATACTGCACCCCACTATACTATAATACCATACTGCACCCCACTACACTATACCAACATACTGCACCCCACTATACTATAATAACAAACTGCACCCCACTATACTATAAAACAAACTGCACCCCACTATTCTATACCAACATACTGCACCCCCTCTATAATATAATAACATACTGCACCCCGCTTTAATATAATAACATACTGCACCCCACTATACTATAATACCATACTGCACCCCCACTATACTATAATAACACACTGCACCCCACTATACTATAATACCATACTGCACCCCCACTATACTATAATAACATACTGCACCCCACTATACTATAATACCATAATGCACCCCCACTATACTATAATAACATACTGCACCCCACTATACTATAAAACAAACTGCACCCCACTACACTATACCAACATACTGCACCCCACTATACTATAATACCATACTGTACCCCACTATACTATAAAACAAACTGCACCCCACTACACTGTACCAACATACTGCACCCCACTATACTATAATAACAAACTGCACCCCACTATACTATAATACTATACTGCACCCCACTATACTATAAAACAAACTGCACCCCACTACACTATACCAACATACTGCACCCCACTATACTATAATAACAAACTGCACCCCACTATACTATAATACCATACTGCACCCCACTATACTATAAAACAAACTGCACCCACTACACTATACCAACATACACCCCACTATTATACTATAATACCATACTGCACCAACTATACTATAATAAATAAACTGCACCTCTACTATACTATAATACCTATACTGCACCCTCTACTATTCTACTTATAATACTACTGTACCTACTATACTATACACATACTGCACTCTACTATACTATACCAAATATACAAATTCTACAGCTATAATACCATACTGCACCCCAATTATACTATACTACCAACATACTGCACCCCATTATACTATAATACCATACTGCACCCCACTATACTATAATACCATACTGCACCCCACTATACTATACCAACATACTGCACCCCATTATACTATAATACTATACTGCACCCCATTATACTATAATACCATACTGCACCCCACTATACTATAATACCATACTGCACCCCACTATACTATAATACCATACTGCACCCCTAATTATACTATAATACCATACTGCACCCCACTATACTATAATAACATACCACCCCCACTATACTATAATAACAACTGCACCCCACTATACTATAAACATACTGCACCCCACTATACTATAATACAAACTGCACCCCACTATACTATAATACCATACTGCACCCCCACTATACTATAATAACATACTGCACCCCACTATACTATAATACCATTCTGCACCCCACTATACTATAATACCATTCTGCACCCCCTCTATAATATAATAACATAATGCACCCCGCTATAATATAATACCATACTGCACCCCACTATACTATAATACCATTCTGCACCCCCTCTATAATATAATAACATACTGCACCCCGCTATAATATAATAACATACTGCACCCCACTATACTATAATAACATTCTGCACCCCACTGTTTTGTAAAAACATACTGCACCCCACTGTTCTATAATAACAAACTGCACCCCACTATACTATAATAACATACTGCACCCCACTATACCATAATAACATACGGCATCCCACTATACTATACCAACATACTGCACCCCACTATAGTATAATAACATACTGCACCCCACTATTTTATAATAACATACTAAACCCCACTATACTATAATAATGTAATGCACTCCACTATACTATAATAACAAACTGCACCCCACTATACTATAACAACATACTGCACCCCATTATACTATAATAACATACTGCACCCCACTATTTTATAATAACATACTGCACCCCACTATACTATAATAACACACTGCACCCCCACTATTCTATAATAACCTACTGTACCCAACTATACTATAACAACATACTGCACCCCACTATACTATAATACCATACTGAACCCCACTATACTATAATAACACACTGCACCTCCACTATTCTATAATAACATACTGCACCCCACTATACAATAATAACATACTGCACCCCCACTATGCTATAATAACATACTGCATCTCACTATACTTTTCACATAATAACATACTGCACCCCACTACAATATTCATGTAATAACATGCTGCACCCCACTTTACTATTTATACAATAACATGCTGTACCCCACTACAATATTCATGTAATAACATACGGCACCCCACTATACTATTCATATAATTACATACTGCACCCCACTATACTATTCATATAATAACATGCTGCTCCTCCTCTGTACTATTCATATAATAACATACTGCACCCCCACTATTCTTTTCATATGTGCATGTGTGTGTATCTGTGTGTCTGTGTATCTGCAAGTGTGTCATTATGGGTGACTTCTTATCTGCATGTGCGGGTGCCTGTGTATCTGTTTGTATTTGTGTGTATTTTATTTCTTTTTCCTTAAAGGTATTTTTATATTACGTTTTTTCAGGTTTGTCCTATTTGAGTAAATACGGTAATAACATGACCACATCCCCATATACTCTTCTTTCATAACATTCTGCTCCCCTACTATACTTTTCATTTAATAACATGCTGCACCCCCACTATGCTATTTATATAATAACATATTGCACCCCACTATACTATTCATACAATAACATACTGCACCCCACTATGCTATTCATAAAATAAAATACTGCACTCCCATTATACTATTCATATCATAACATGTTGCACCCCATTATACTATTCATACAATAACATACTGCTCCCCTCTATACTATTCATAAAAAACATACAGCACCCCACTATACTATTCATAATATAAAATACTGCACCCCCATTATACTATTCATATCATTACACGTTGCACCCCACTATACTATTCATATAACATACTGCACCCCGTAGACTATTCATGTAATAACATACTGCACCCCACTACAATATTCATGTAATAACATATTGCACCCCCACTATTCTATTCATATAATAACATGTTGAACCCACTTTACTATTCATATAACATGACTGCACCTCCACTATACTATTCATATAATAACACGCTGCACCTCTATACTATTTATACAATAATATGACTGCACTCCGCTGTACTATTCATATAATAACATATTGCATCCCACTATACTATTCATGTAATAACATGCTGCTACCCACTATACTATACATATAAAAACATGACTGCAACCCCACTATACTATTCATGTACCTTTCAACCTATCATCCCTGCCCCTCCCCTTTCCTTTACTTCCTTTGAAGTTCACACTGTCCGCCTTTTTAAGCCCACTCGTTTAAGAATTGCCATCATCTATCACCCCCCACCCCACTTTCTCTCCTCTTGCACTCCCTCGCTCATACATGGGGACCTTAACATCCCAATCAACAACCTCAACTGCCCTGATGCCTCCCGTCTGCTCTCTGTAACCTCTTCCTTTGGCCTCACGCAGTTGTTTACTTCAGCAACTCATACAGCAGGAAACACTCTTGGCATCATCTTCACCAATCTCTGTACCACCTCTAATCTCTGCACTGTTCCATTTCCTTTGTCTGACCACCATCTGCTAACATTTGACATCAGCATACCCCATACCCTGACGAAGGTGCATTACACAAAGCACCGAAACACGCGTCGGGTGTTTTTCCTTTTTACTTTATTTTGAGTATGGGCACTGGGTATTGATTAGTTGATTTAAGCACTTTTTATTTCCAATATGATTTGCTTATGTAGCACTTTCTAACTTCTTTTCCACTATGCCTGTCTAGCTAGATTACCAGGGAGAGAGGCTTTATAAATCCTACTGTCAGTTTATTTGAAACTGATTTATAGACCTAACACTGCCTACTCTCTACTCTCTCTACTTGACATTATCTCTCCTCTGGAATTTTTGTGCTGTAACCCTAAACTGACTAGTGAGGTCAGTTTTCCTACCACCTCTTTTGACATTTTAGGATACAGTACCAAGAGGAGAGTCAGTAATAGATCAGAGACGGGACTACTACTTGGGATTGATCTTTTAATTTAAGCAAGTTTCCTATTAAAGCTTAATTTTAGTGTCTCTATATCATATCCCTATACATGGATGGTAGCTATCCCTACCTGATTCTATCCTGTATGCATAGTGGTATTAGCTACACTTGTATATACTTTATTTTCCACTTACTTAATGGTCTCTTTTTTCGTTCTGGGATATATTAGCCATTGAATTAATATTTAAACCTACTTTGCTATATATTTATCCATATGATGTACCTGGTCTCCTGACCTTGTTTGCACTGAGACCAGAAGCATCTGTCTTTTGTTTTTCTCTTTACTATATATATTGGGGTTAAGCCCCTGGAGACCCCTGGAGTCTCCTTGCGGTACATAAGACTTGGAGTCATTACCGGCACTATTACCCTAGGGTCTAGTGCATGGGATTGTACTCCGTGTCTTTTATTTCTTTTTACCCCATACCCAAATTTCACCACCCTCAACTCTCCAATCTCGCAGAAACCTAAACTTCCTTGATCTCCAGCATTTCTCCTCCAAATTCAAAACTCTCCTTTTACCCATCTCAAATCTAACTTGCCCTAACTCTGCTACCTCACTCTACAACTCAACTCTCTCCTCTCAACTCAACATCATGGCACCTACTACAATTAAATGCAGCAAGCACCCCCAATTACAACCCTGGCAAACCAAACTGATCCCTTACCTCCAAAAATGTTCTAGAACTGCTGAACACTGCTGGAGAAAGTCTCACTTTGCATCTGACTTCCTCCACTATAAATTTATGCTGCGCTCCTACAGCCTGGCTCTTTCCGCTGCAAAAGTAAATTACTTTAACACCCTCATAAGTACACTGTCCCATCAACCCAAACACCTATTTCACACTTTTGATGCTCTTCTTCGCCCTTTTCATCCCCCTCCTTCTACCACCTTGTCCGCCACAAACTTTGCATCTCATTTCACTGAGATCTCTACAATCAGAGAAGAGATCGCTAATTTCTCTCCTTCCCCTACTAATACATCACCCAACCCCACTCCCTCCACCATTCTACACTTATTCACACCTGCTACAGCAGAAGTGGTTTCTGTTCTGCTCCGGTCCTCCCGCCCCACCACCTGTTCCTTCATATCTCATCTGCACTTTGTCTCCCTCTCTTGCTCTTCCTCTCAATAAAAGTTTCAATCTCTCCCTTTCCTCTGGCACATATCTCTCACCCTTCAAACATGCAACAGTAACCCCAGTTCTGAAAAAATCCAGCCTTGACCCCAACTCCCCATCCAACTACCGCCCTATCTCGCTACTACTATTTGCTTCCAAGATCCTCAAGAGAGTTTTTTACACCAGACTGACTGACTTTCTTGAAACCAACTCTCTGCTTGACCCCCCTCAGTCTGGATTCCGCGCTGGTCATTCTGTCGAAACGGCTGTGACCAAAGTATCCAACTATTTAATTGCTGTTAAATCTCGTGGCCATTATTCTATCCTAATTCTCCTTGATCTTTCTGCTGCCTTTGACACTGTTCATCAACAACAGCTTTTTCGCATTCTCCGTAATTTTGGTCTACGGGATACTGCTCTCTCCTGGTGCTCCTCCTACCTCTCCCAGCGCTCTTTCAGTGTTTCATACTCTGACTCTGCCTCTTCCCTCCAACCACTCTTTGTCGGCGTCCCCCAAGGTTCTGTCCTTGGTCCTCTACTGTTCTCTATCTACACTGCCTCCCTTGGTAAACTCATCAGCAAATTTGGCTTCCGTTATAATTTCTATGTGGATGACATGCAAATCTACCTGTCCTCTCCTGATATCTCTCCACCTATCTTGATTAGGTCTCTGACTGCATCTCTTCGATTTCCAAATCGATGGCTGTTCACTTCCTTAACCCCTATAGAACACATGACATGTGTGACATGTCATGATTCCCTTTTATTCCAGAAGTTTGGTCCTTAAGGGGTTAAACTCAACCTGTCCAGAAAATAACTTCTGGTCTTTCCTCTCTCAAGTGTTAACACTCTCGTGTCTGTCTCCCTCCTAGTCAATGGTGCTACCATCAACTCTACCTCGCAGGCTTGCTGCCTGGGTGTTCTTTTTGACTCCAACCTCTCCTTCACCCCTCATGTCCAATCAATCGCCAAATCCTGTCGCTTCCATCTCAAAAACATAGTGCGCACCCGCCCCTACTTAACCCCGGATGCGGCTAAGGTGCTGGTCCATGCTCTTGTTCTCTCTTGCCTGGACTACTGCAATACTCTTCTCAGTTATCTTACGTTTTCCCAGATTGCACCGTTGCAATCTATGATGAATGCAGCAGCGAGGCTCATTTTCCTGTCCACTCGCACCTCCCACGCCTCTCCGCTCTGTCAGTCCCTGCATTGGCTTCCAGTTAGATATAGGGCTCAATTTAAAATTCTGGTGCTTGCTTACAAGTCCCTACATAATGCTGCTCCAACCTACCTATCCTCCCTAATACACAAGTATGTCCCGTCGAGGCCCCTACGCTCTGCCAAAGACCTACGTATAAGACCTCTGTACGTACTCCCACCTCTAACGCTCACCTCCAAGATTTTTCCAGGGTTGCACCTCTTCTGTGGAAATCCCTTCCCTTCTCCGTAAGATTTTCACCCAGTCTCCACTCATTCAAAAAATTATTGAAAACTCACTTCTAAGTAAAGTGTGTCTGTCTGTGTGTCTATCAGTGAGTGTGTGTGTCTGTCTGTCTGTGAGTGTGTGTGTCTGTGTGTGTCTGTCAGTGTCTGTGTGTGTGTCTGTCACTGAGTGTGTGTGTCTGTCAGTGAGTGAGTGTGTTTGTCAGTGAGTGTGTATGTGTTGGTCAGTATTTCATTGGCTGCGACTGGACAGTGGAGTACCTGGAGGTGCATGGAGGCACGCAACGCCACGTCACATTCTGACGTGACAGACATCGTCATGCTCCACCTTGACAGGACTTCAAAACGTAGCAGGAGTATCAGATTAGGCACAGGGTGCGGACAGCGCCATTTGGCTAGAGGGGAATGCTGGGATTTAGTAGAAAGGGAGGACCGGGATTTATTAGAGGTGAGTGCTGTGGTTTAGTAGATGGGGAGACTGAGATTTAGTAGAGGGGGGTGCTGTGGTTTAATAATGGGGGATGTTGTGTTTTTTTTATACTGTATTTTTCAAAATAAACCTACGTTTCTATGAAAAAAGTTTTTTTTTGCGGCCCACATAAACTTAACGTACTGCACCCCTCTGTACTATTCATATAATAACAAACTGCACCCCACTATACTATTCATATAATAACATACTGCACCCCTTGATACTATTCATATAATAACATACTGCACCCCACTACAATATTCATATAATAACATACTGCACCCCATTATACTATTTATATAATAACATACTGCACCCCACTACAATATTCATATAATAACATACTGCACCCCATTATACTATTTATATAATAACATACATCACCCCTCGATACTATTCATATAATAACATACTGCACCCCACTACAATATTCATATAACATACTGCACCCCATTATACTATTTATATAATAACATACAGCACCCCTCGATACTATTCATATAATAACATACTGCACCCCACTACAATATTCATATAATAACATACTGCACCCCATTATACTATTTATATAATAACATACAACACCCACTATATTATTCATATAATATGACTGCACCCCATTATACTATTCATATAATAACATACTGCACCCCCACTATACTATCCATATAATAACATGCTGCACCCCATTATACTATTTATATAATAACATACTGCACCCCACTACAATATTCATATAATAACATACTGCACCCCACTACAATATTCATATAATAACATACTGCACCCCATTATACTATTTATATAATAACATACAGCACCCCTCGATACTATTCATATAATAACATACTGCACCCCACTACAATATTCATATAATAACATACTGCACCCCACTACAATATTCATATAATAACATACTGCACCCCACTACAATATTCATATAATAACATACTGCACCCCATTATACTATTCATATAATAACATACAGCACCCCATTATACTATTCATATAATAACATGCTGCACCCCATTATACTATTTATATAATAACATACAGCACCCCTCGATACTATTCATATAATAACATACTGCACCCCACTACAATATTCATATAATAACATACTGCACCCCACTACAATATTCATATAATAACATACTGCACCCCATTATACTATTCATATAATAACATACAGCACCCCATTATACTATTCATATAATAACATACAGCACCCCCACTATACTATCCATATAATAACATGCTGCACCCCATTATACTATCCATATAATAACATACAGCACCCCTCGATACTATTCATATAATAACATACAGCACCCACTATATTATTCATATAATATGACTGCACCCCATTATACTATTCATATAATAACATAGAGCACCCCCACTATACTATCCATATAATAACATGCTGCACCCCATTACACTATATGACGTTAAACTAAAAGATGTCTGTCACTGGAGTAAAACATCAAATAACAATAATATACTGTTTTGTACGTATTACCTCTGCTTACTTAATTCTTTATCCCTTTCTCTCTCTCTCTGTTCTGCAAACATCTATAAAGTTAACAACACGTCTACATTAATAAACATACATAGATCACACGTTTACTAATCTCCCTTGTTTGTTCCCCCTAAACATTTATATCCTAACACAATTAAAGATTAATTTAGGGATTTATTAATTTGCCTTTCTTCTGATTATCAATGATCTATACTAATAAACAATATAACAGCACCACCTACTGTCAGAAAATGAAACCTGTCTACAAAATATAAGATCAATTAAATATATAAAATATAGATTGTATACCATTGGACCTGGGCATTAGTTTTGGATGAACACGGTTTAGTCGGAATACTAAATATGAGGAAGGCTGAACTTGATGGACACATGTCTCTTTTCAGCCTATGTAACAAAAGACGAATGGTCGAATACAAATTACAACGGATGAATTGAAGAATGAATTGCTTGTTGGATGAAATATTACCCATGCAATAAATTCTCTCATTGGTTCATTTTAGTTTATTACAAGGAGAGAGATACTGGCTCACGGCTCCGTGCTTGTAAAGTTTAAAAGTAACCAGAGTGCTGACGTCACTGATAAGATTTGCCCTGTTTGAGGATGCATTTCAAGCATGACAAATCAAAGAAGACGTCGGGAGGAGCCGAGGTGGAGCAGAGGACGGACAGGAGGTGGGTGTTACATGAACAGTAACAACCACAAAGCAGCGCTGGAACAAAGGTGGGCACATCTTTATATTTTACATTGAGTACACCACATATCTTTGTGATGTATATAGTGTATTCAGTGTATGGTATATGGGAATTATATCATGTAAATAGGTTTTTTCATAACAGGTTTACTTGAAAATGTATCACTTCACAGAAGTATCTTAATTGTGATAACAAATTACAACTGTGTATCCACTGAACTGTGTTGTAACAGAGAAGTCCTGAAATCATCACTTAGCAACCTGGAGAAAGGCATTTTATTAGTATTGAAAATAAAAAGTTCTAAATAGATACCTGTAGCTCCTATATAAACTTACTGAAGTTAATTAAATGAACCAGTTATTTTAGAAATAGACACCATCCATCGTCACACTGTTCCTATACTCCCTAGTGATGGCTATGGAGTTTCCATGGGAGCCACAGCACATGCACTGTGGTTGCTATGGGTGGAGAACAGAGGGAACTCCTTTGGGAGGTCTTATCTCCCCTCCCTTGTCAGTCAATTCAAGGCAATAAAATTGTTCAAATCAGTTTGTCTCCCCAAATTTGAATTTTATGAATAACATGTTTTGTCAGTCATTTGGGATACATCTATGTGGAGCTTCGGTTGCAGACAAATTTTGCCAACGCAGTTTGGTAAAACCAATTCAGAAAAATCAAAAGGTCACAAAAATGTGCCAATCATTGTAGTGCAAAATATATACATAGTATCAATATTATGAATACATTTTGCTGTACACTGATCTTGGCACATTTCATGCCCTTTGGTTCACAAAAAATGTTGTATATGAAATCATATGAAAATAATATCAAACTGAAAAATGTCATACATCTGGCACCCAACCTATGTGCTCACACTGGCCTGTAACTATCTATTTTATTACTAAAGCCAGAGTTTTCACCCACTAGCCACTTGGTACTAACTCAAAGAGCCACTATGCCAATCTAGTGTGCCATTTGACTGGTTCCAGTCTGCTGCTAGTGTTATGTATCATGAACATCAGGAATACAGGTTCGTATCAACTTTATCAAATACATATTTTATTCTTCTTCTTCAAATAAGCTAGTAGGAGGCAGATGGATAGGTAGAAGGTATTCTGTATGTAGATACCTATTTAGACACTGGACAAGCCCTGCATAAATCTTTACCAAATTGCAATGCATCCAATCCAACAGGGCCGGACTGGCCCACCAGGATACCGGGAAATTTCCCGGTGGGCCGTCGGCACCTGGGGCTGGGTAGGCAGCTGACCTGCGGCCGCAGAGGGAGCTCTTTTGTCGGCCGCAGGGGTAGCTGGCTGTTCTGTCTCTGCTCCCCCGCCCTCGCGCTGCTTACAGAGACCGGGGCCGGAATATGCCGTCATATTCCTGCCCCGGTCTCATTAAGCTGCGCGCTGGAGCAGGGTGAGCAGAGACAGAACAGCCAGCTCCCCCTGCGGCCGCCAAAAGTGCTCCCTCTGCAGCCGCCAGAAGAGCCAGCTCCCCCATGCGGCTGCCATCAGGGCTCCCCCTGCAGCCGCCAGCACACAGGTAGCAATTATGTGTGTCAGTGTGAGTGTATGTGTGTGTGTCTGTGTCATGGTGTGTGTCTATCTGTGTCATTGTGTGTGTGTCTCTGTCTGTCATGGTGTGTGTGTCTGTGTCATTGTGTGTGTGTGTCTCTGTCTGTCATGGTGTGTCTGTCGGTGTGTGTCTCTGTCTGTGTCATGGTGTTTGTGTGTGTGTCGGTCTGTGTCATGGTGTGTGTGTCTCTGTCTGTCATGGTGTGTCTGTCTGTGTCATGGTGTGTGTGTCTGTGTCACGGTCTTTCTGTGTCGTGGTGTGTGTGTGTCTGTGTGTCATGTAATGTGTGTCTGTGTCACGGTGTGTGTGTGTCTGTGTCATGGTCTGTCTGTTTTATGGGGTGTGTGTGTCAAGGTGTGTGTGTCTTTTTTAAGGTGTGTGTCTGTCATGGTATGTGTGTGTCTCTGTCATGGTGTGTATGTCTGTCATAGTGTGTGTGTGTTTCTGTCTGTGTCATGGTGTGTGTGTGTCTGTGTCATGGTCTGTCTGTGTCATGGTGTGTGTGTGCATGTGTGTTTTTACTCACCTTTTTTACCCCACGTCGTGCTGGTCTCCCCTCGACTGGCCCTGCCTCTATGGCTGAGATCATCAAGCTTGATGATCTCAGCCAATCTGCACTGACACAGGAAGCACCTCTAGTGACCGTCTGAGTGTCTGTCACTAGGAAGCAATGTAAACACTGCCTTTTCTCAAAAAGTCAGTGTTTACATTGAAAAGCCTGCAGGGACAGGCTATAGACACTAGAACCACTACATTAAGCTGTGTGTGTGCGCGTCTGCTAGTGAGTGGGCTTGCCTGTGTGTGTGTGCTCGCGGGCGTGTGTGTGTGCCTGCTACTGAGTGAGCTTGTGTTTTTATGTCAATGACCTTATGGATATCAGTGAGATTGTTTGTCTATAAGGCTGTGTATCAATCAGCTTGTGTCAGTGAGATTGTCTCTGTCTGCATGTGAGCATGCTTACTGTATAATTAAAAATTTTACTCTGAAAGGACCAATATTTTATATTGGAAAAAGCAAGATATATAGATAGATATATATATATATCAATCATCTAGGGTGGCAAAGACATAGCCTTACATATTACATGCGACAATATATGGCGCAATGACTTATGGGGCTGGCATAGATTTTTTTTCCAGGGCTGTTTTGGAATCCCCAGTCCGGCCCTGCAATCCAATGAACCTGAAAGCAATTAAATAACACATAGTAGCCATTTGGTGGATGTAATTAAGTCCAAAAAAGCAGAAATAAATTGGAGTTTTGACTTCAAACCAGACAAATACAATTCACGGTGCAGTGAATAACCCTCCTTGCACATGGTTCTGGAGACTGACATTTGATTTGATACACACTGCCACTGGCAACATTAAGTTCTGTATTGTATTGCAGTTGCTAATGCCATGCATTTATTTAGCAATTTAATTTTTTCTAAATCGTTATAGAGAAACATACCATTATCATTGGAATTCAGACAAATCAAATGAACGTATGAATGAAATTCTGTTCATTGATCATAAAATTCAGACAAATTCAATCTGATAAACCGTTTTTTTACGGTTCATACACCTAGGAATGTTATCTTAACCACTGCACATATTTTGGGGAAATAGTAAATACATTTGTAGCAGCAACCTGGATTGTTAGAGGACTCATAGATATTCATTTGTTGAACTATTTTAAACTGTTTGACCTCGAGCAAATCAGCCAGTGATCTTTTTAACCAGTCGTTAGTTACTAATATAGACATCAAGCGAGTTTATTGTTGAATCCTCAACTGCTTGTACAACAATGCCATCTCACAGTCAGCTACATGTTTCAGCTTGATAAACAGACAACTTGCTATGCTTGTAACTGCAAGTCATTTTTCTAGCCCTGCCTGAATTCGACTGAGCCAATAAGTGAAAGTTGCAGTAGGTCAATTCACAACCAGCTAGCACTTAAAGGGACACTCCAGGCACCAGACTACTTCTGCCCATTGGAGTGGTCTGGGTGCCAACTCCCACTACCCTTAACCCTGCAAGTGTAATTATTGCAGTTTCCAATGACTGCAATATTTACCTTGCAGGGTTAAGTCCTCCTCTAGTGGCTGTCTACTAGATAGCCACTAGAGGACACTTCCGTGTTCACGAAAAGTGTGTTATAATGTCGCTGGATGTCCTCACGCTATGTGTCCAGTGTCGCTGAAATCCCCATAGGAAAGCATTGAAAGCATTGCCGCACATGCGCATTAGGTCTCCCCTGCCGCCGGCCGTGCATGCTCAATAGGTCTCCCCCACCGGATGACGTCGGTGGGGGAGGAGCATGGGCGGACCCTGACCCAGCCCTGAGGCGCTGGATACAGGTAAGTCACTGAAGGAGTTTTAACCCCTTCAGCAACATGGGATAGGGGGGTGGGAAGGAGAGGGGACTGGCAGTGCCAGGAAAACCCTGGCTTCAAAATATTTTTTATTCAACATCTGTGAACATACGTTTTTGGAAGAGTGAACTCTCTGCAATATATTTATAAGCTACCTGTGCCTTCTAAATATAAAATATATATAGCATAAGATTTTTTGAAATGGAAAATATTGAAAAGTTGAATGCGTATGTTTCCGTTTGTAAATTAGCATTTTCGGGTTTATGAAAAAACACCAGGAAAAAGATAGGTTTGTGGTCTAATGTAAAAAACACCAGATCAACCCATACAGCTAGATTGTATAGTTTTTATGGCACATTCATTAAGCAGTTGGGCTATCAAGTGATATTTATTTAATGAGAGGTTCCCAAATATGTCAAGAACCGAAATGCAATGTAGCCTATTGTAAAGGGACTCTATAGCTGTAGGAATACAAATGTGTCCACCCTCCTTTTGCTATAAAAAAACTGAAAGAAAGGTTTTCACTGATGTTTACTCCAGTATCAAGACTTCCTTGGCACTGACATCCATGCTTCCTTCCATGACATCATTCGGCTCTCGCTCATCGATGAGCATTGGAGACTGATGTGCATGTGCGGTGAGTGCTGTTCAAAGAAATGCATTGAATTCAATGCTTTCGTATAGGCTGCACTGGTCACATGACCGAGTTTTACACTTGTCCTTGTGGAAGCGCCTCTGGTGACTGTCTGGAAGGCAGTGTTTGACTACATAATGCAAACAGTGAGGGGTATAATTATAGGATATGGGCAACACATTTCATTATTATTATTATTATTATTATTATTATTATCATTTCTCAGTTTAAACCTTTAATTTAAGACTGTTCCCTCAACTGCTCACAAAGTTTCATGTTATATTATGGTATCCAGTTGAATTGCAAACTGTGAGTTCATTTTTGATGCAATGTCACATATGAGAACATGTAATCTTGGGGTCAGTGAAGATTTTAGGAAATTATGGTTTATGTTTCTAAACCCAAATATCTGGTTTTCTGTAGAAATCAAGCAATCAACTGAAATGTTCCCATAAACCTCTCTCCTGACATTTACCAGTAAATCTCCTTTCCCAGAAGCAATTCTTCCTACCTAAAAACCAAAAGTGCTCCATGCAAAAAATGATCTTACAATTTAATTAATGTTACAAAACGCAGCCACCACAAAATGTGAGTCTCTCCCCGACTACACATAAACCAATTAGACATAAAAAAGTAAACTGGGTAGTTTGTACTACCACCAGTTAAGATGGTGAAGTGCTTACAGATCAACTTAACATAACATTCAGGGATATAATTTCTTATTAGTGGGGTAATAGCTGCTTGATCCAAGAAGACACCTGACTGCTATTTTGGGGTCAAGAAGGAATTTTTTCCTAGTTTGTGGCAAAATTGGAAGTGCTTCAGACTAGGTTTTTTGCCTTCTTTTGGATGAACAGCAAAAACATATGTGAGGAAGGCTGAACTTGATGGACGCAAGTCTCTTTTCAGCTATGTAACTATGTAACTTACCCTTGTAACTTAAGGGATAATTATACAGCAATATACTAAATGGAAAATAAAACTATATAGTGTAGTATATTAAGTACTCAAGTGTATGAATAAATATATATACCATACACTCACATATATTAGAGCCAAACAAGGACATGCTCAAATCTCATCCATTTTTGAGATTTGAGCCGGTCCATGTTTGGCTCTAATCTATGTGAGCGTATGGAATTCTACCTACTTGTCTGTTTATGCTACAGTATAATGCTTGATGCATGGTGATACCGGACCACGCTGCAACAAGTTTACTGGTGTGCAACATGCTCAGTAGTTACTCACGTCTTCAGGATTGGTAGCTGTACTGTGGCCGACACTGATTATGTCACAGGAAGCCTATGATTGCCACAATAGCACCAATGAGATTGTCTTCCAATCACTGATCTAAAGTTTAGGAGTGCATTGGATGGGAATCCGGTATGTAGGGTACTCTACTGTAAGATCAATGTTTGAAACATATTCAGAACATCCCGTTTCTGCGTGTTCAAACCAACAAATTGATATAGAAAAAAGTAATTAGAGCTACAAATAGAACATGCATTCCTTAATAGTGATAACACTGAGAAGAACTAAACGTATATAAAACACATCTTCATGGAACAGCTCCTCCATAGATATCTGCAAGGGTGCAGCAGTGACGTGGGCTTGTGGCATTTGAAGAATTATAAGTTGCAGAAGAAAGTGGGGGTGTCATAATATGGAAGGACCGCTGAAAGTGGCAGACCTGCTTTCTTATGGATACTTATAATAGTTTGACGAAATCCTCTTTTTTTTAAATGTTATTTTAAGTAGTCTTGCAAGATTTGTATATTTTTATGCGTGCACTGCTCTCTCCATGCAACGTCCATTTTCACCAAATTTAACATAATTTTTATAATTTCATAAAAATTTAAAATAGAATGTTCGGTTGAATATTGCTGCAGACTGTCTTTAGTAATATGTTATTTTGCAATATCTTGCTAGAAGCCGAGGTGTGCAGTATGAAATAAATACATTTAATTGCATCTTGTTATGGCACTTATTATATTTTACAACCTGTAAAATGTTTAACCCACGCGCAGGTGTTCTTTTGACCTCGTTTTGTCTTTTAAAGGGCAACTTTTAAACATGTAGTATGTGAGAAGTTTGCACAGCAATTCAAGAGAATAACTGTAGACCTAATGTATGCAGAGGATCAAAGTGTATAAGCTGTTATTTATTCTCCTGATTTATTTCTAAAATTAGTAGTTAAACTTCAAACACCTTTGTATACAGAATGTTGTACATTTAGGGTGAATGAATAGTTACGTTTCTTTTTTTCCCCAAAAATAAAAACGTTGGACACAATTTCGTAAAGATTAATTTTTTTGTGTTAATCACCTGTCTGCCAGTTAGGAGCAGTTTGTGTTTTCTGTTTGCAAGGGACCTATTGTCTATGCAATCGTTTTTTTTTAACTGAAAAATGTGTTGTGCAAAATTAAAGCGACTAATGTACAAAATGGAGAAATATCTTCAAACTGGCTGAAAATTCGATTTATTCAGCTTTTTATTAATGTAAATTTTTGGAACTATGTTGCAAGGTCATCACAACTCTCTGTTTAGTGAAAAATAATTTATTAAAGAGTGAATCAGCAGAGGAACTACCTTCAGTTCATAAAAAAACATTACACACAAACACTACAAAAGGATGGGCAAATGGTAGATCCCCAGCTTGCCAAACATTGTGTGAGCTGTACAACAGATGTGGTTCTTGTCACGGCCCCTGACTCGCTAAGAGGTACGGTGGCACCCGACTAGTGCGACCGTGCCGACGAACTGAACTTACCTGCTCAGCGGTGAGTCAGGAACCACTCCACCAGATCCTCCTCGCTGTCTGGCCTTAATCAATATGGCGCTGACCATGCGGTTGCGGTCATATATAGCACTGCCCCCCAGGTTCACTCTGTGCGTGTGATGTCACGACGTTGACGCACGCTCATGTTCTGGGGTCAGAGGTCACCCTCTGACCAATCACAGCCAAAGGAGGGATATTTAAATCCCTGAAGTTCCCTGGTTCATTGCCCTGTTGTGTTTTCTGTTCCTGGTTCTCGAGAGTGTGTTTTCTTGTCCTGTTTTTGATATTCCCAGTATTTTGAACTTGGCTTTTCCTGGCTATTCTGATTTCTGGTTTCCCTGACTTGGCTTGTTAAACGATATTGTGTATTTCTGGCTTCCTTGACCTCGGCTATCCCTTGACCATTCTCATAGCGTGCGCAGGCTATTACATAAGGGTGTGCACCCTAAAGCACAAACACACACGCCGCGTATATATATATATATATATATATATATATACACACACACACACACACACACACAGTGCTGTGTGTGTTTAAGGGTGCTGTGTTTGTGAGGGTGGTGTGTGTGTGTGTGTGTGTGTGTGTAAGGGTGCTGAGTGTGTGTGGCGGTGCTGTTATTGTGTGTGTGTAAGGATGCTGTGTGTGTGAGGGAACTCTGTGTGTGTGTGAGGATGTTGTGTGTGTGTGTGTAAGGGTGCTGTGTGTGTGTGTGTGTGCTGTGTGTGTGTGTGTGGGGGGGGCTGTTAGTGTGTGTGTATGTGTAAGGGTGCACTGTGTAAGGATGCTGTGTGTGAGGGTGCTGTGTGTGAGGGTGCTGTTAGTGTCTGTGTGCTGTCTGTGTGTATATGTGAGGGTGCTGTATTTGTGAGGGTGCTATTTGTGTGTATTTGTTTGTAGGGTCTGTGGGGGGTTGGGGGCACTGTTTAGGAAATAGCCCCCTCCCTTCTTACCTTTTTATAGGGAGGGGAACTTTTCTCTGGTGGTCCAGTGGTGAGTGAACTCTGGCCTTCGAGGCTAAAGTTCACTCTAGCGAGATCTGAGCATTGCCGCGGCAACACTCCGACCTCACGAGAGGAACCCAGCGGAGAGGCTGGGGACTACTAATGTCTTCTTTTTCCACATCCGTTCTAGCTCCTCTTTCAGTTCTTGGTATTTGTCCATCTTCTCATGTTCCTTATCCATGATGTTATTGTCACTGGGTATTGCCACATCTACCACCACTGTAGTCTTCTGTTTCTTATCCACCACCATGCTGTCAGGTTGGTTGGCCAGTACTTGCTTCTCATTCTGGATCTGAGTACACTGAGCATACACTGAGAGGCACAACCAAGTTGCTGGGTATATATATTTATTTGACCCTGTCATTTCCCAATACCTCTTAAAACCTGTTGTACTTGTGAGACATCACAAGGACAACAGTACCCCCTACAAATATGAGTGTTTTAGAACAATAAAATGTATAATGACAATGCAATTATTAGTGAAAGTGTAGTGTTTGTGTGAAAATTGCAAAAACAAATATGAACACTAACTTTGGCCAGGGTTTGTGAATAAGTGGCCACTAAAAAGACTGCACATACCCAATTTTGAATACCTTGTGTTGTCTACTTTTGTAAAATGGTATGCTGTGATGGGGGCAAATTTAATTCCTGGGCTGCCATAAGGTCTCAAAGGCAACATTGGCCCAGCAAATCAATCTGGAAAATTCCAATGTGTAAACACCTAAATGGGCAATCTTTTTGATCCTGTAGCTTTCCAAAACACCATGAACCTCTTCACGAGGGGCATTATTGTACTTATGGGACATCACAGCATACAGATATGTGTATTTAATTGCAGTAAAAGCTAACAGTATTACGACATCTACAGTTAAAATGTGGTACAGAACTTGGAACAAAAAAATGAAATTTGTTAATTTCTCACACTTTTTAGATTTTATTCATATTACATTTTGTTTCATATATAAATATTTCATGTGAAATAAAAGCCCAGTTTCTCCTGAACAAAATGACATATAATACGTGTAGGTGATTTAAACATGAAAGAGAAAAATTATGGTTGAACAGACATATCACTCTGTTTTGGTTCAGAACCTAAACAATTGCCTCCATCCTAAAGGGGTTAGCAACCTCAACATTGATTAAATTACATTTAGCAGCTGTAATATTGATTAGTAGTGATGTCCCGAACGGTTCGCCGAACGGTTCGCCACGGATGGCGAACATATGCACTGTTCGGTCCACCCCCTATGTCATCATTGAGTAAACTTTGACCCTGTACCTCACAGTCAGCAGACACATTCCAGCCAATCAGCAGCAGACGCTCCCTCCCAGACCCTCCCACCTCCTGGACAGCATCCATTTTACATTCATTGTGAAGCTGCATTCTTAGTGAGCTGTCCAGGAGGTGCGAGGATCTGGGAGGGAGGGTCTGCTGCTGATTGGCTGGAATGTGTCTGTTGACTGTGAGGTATAGGGACAAAGTTTACTCAATGATGACGAATAGGGGGCGGACCGAACAGCGTATATGTTCGCCGTCCGTGGCGAACCGTTCGGCGAACCGTTCGGGACATCACTATTGATTAGATTTAAGGGAAATAAGGAACCAGCCACAATATGGTCTTCAGAACACATGTTCCTCTTCACTGATTTTAAATGAGTATATATATGATCTTTAAAATTGTCCAAACATCTGTACGATAGAGAAAAAGCTAAAATAAGTTGTTGATAAATTGCACAAAGCCATTTTCTGGTGGAACAAATACTACATAACAAAGTAATGTACTAGCTATTTCTTATTCATTTTTTTTTCAGTTAAATGTTTATTGTTAGTTTTACAATGTGAGGCCTCCAGCTTTAAATACACAACCAAAGCACCTAAACGTTATATGATAGTATATATGTTTTTTATAAAAGTATTGTGATGAATTTGCAATGACGACAGTATTTAGATGCCAAGATAAGAGAAAGTGTGTTGGAAAAACAGACAGCCATTTAAAATCGCTTAGCAAACCTTAAAGGAATGCTCCAAGCACCAAACTACTACAGCACGTTGTAATGGTTATAGTACCATGATGGGACAGGTTCCCCTCCCCCCTTCCCCAATATAACTAGTCATACTCTTTTAGAACGCCGATTAGCTGACACACCAATAAGCTAGCTCTGCACTGCAGGGTTTGGTTAATTTAAACTTCTATCTTCTATCTAACATGCTACTCTACAGAATTAAAGAGGAGAGGTGCAGACCTCAGGTACATTTCAGACCATTCTAAAACAGTTTGACTGCTTACATTGGGGGATACCAAGGAACAGCTGGCATCATAACCACTAGTTGTTTGGTGATTATGGTGCTTGGAGGGCTACTTTAATGAAATACAAACAACAAAACAAAAACACACTGTAAGTATGTTAAAATATGGTTAGTGTAAGCAGCTAAAAGACAGGAAGAGGAAGCTGGTGGGAGAAATCTAGTAGAATGTGAGAGGAAAACAAGAAAGAAAAATCTGAAACTATACTACCGGTAATGTTGTAAATGTCATCCCGGAGCCAACTACAGGACAAGGTTATAATGTTGAGTCTGCCCTACACTTTCTGAAGGGCTTTCTATGCCGTCAAGTTTAAAGTTGATATTTGTTTATTGCATGTGGATAGATACAAAAATCAACCAGTAACTGTTGAGTTTTTCACAGCAAAGATAATATGTTGAAATTCTTACCAAAGTTTACATGAATGCCATTTAGCCACTAGACATTTCCTACATTTTGCCAACTATTACTTCTGTCTTATCATTTTTTAGGCATGTGCATGGGGAAAATGTTCGGTTCGGTTCAGCATTCCGAAATTCGTGATTTTCGCAATTCGGGACTTCGGCAATTCGGCACTTCAACACTTCAGAACTTCGGCAACTTCGGAACTTCGGCACTTGGAAATTCGGCAACTTTGGCAACTTCGACACTTCGGAACTTCTGAATTTCTGAACTTCGGCATTTCAGAATTTCGGGACTTCGGCACTTCGGCACTCCTATTGCAGCCGCTTAGTAGATAACTCCCTAATTCCCACGATATTAGGGAGTTATCTACCAAAAGGCTTAAAGACCTAAATTGGTCTTTAAGCCTAATATACTAATACTAAGTAAAAATTACTTAGTATTAGTACATTTTGCCCCTACTCGCTATACCGCAAGTAGGGGCATGTCTTGTAAACAGTGAGCAGCCTGTGGCTGCTCACTGTTTAAAAAAAAAATTAAAAAAAATAGGGTCCCCCCTCCCGAGCCCCCACCCGCGACGTGCGAGTGGGGGCTTTTTTATTGCCCCCCGCCCCCACCCCTGAGCGGCTGGTGGGGGCCCTAAAGTAAAATGATGGGGGGACCTATTGTCCTCCCCCCGGCCCCCACCCCTGAGCGGTGGGTGGGGGCCCTAAATACTAATAAAGGGGGATCTAATGTCCTCCCCCCCGGCCCCCACCCCTGAGCGGCGGGTGGGTGCCATAAATTTGAATAAGGGGGGGGACCTAATGTCCTCCCCCTGGCACCCATCCCTGAGCGGTGGCCCTAAATACTGATAAGGGGGGGACCTAAGGTATAAAGCCTTGCCCCAGCCCTGCAATTAGGCTCAGAGCACTCTGATTGGTGGGTTTAAGCCATCCAATCAGAGTGCTCTGACAGGTAAATGAAGAGACTGACAGGTAAGTCTCTACATTTACCTGTCACAGCACTCTGATTGGTTGGTTTGAAATCCACCAATCAGAGTGCTCTGTGTCATTTTACACAGCATGGAAGAGTTCTTTGGAATTTTCCCACGCTGTGTAATTTGACTCATAACGCTCTGATTGGTTACTTAATCCACCAATCAGAGAGTTATGAGTCAAATTACACAGCGTGGGAAAATTCCAAGAGCCTTGCCCCGCCCTGCAGAGCTCAGTCTGTGCGGAGCCCTCGCCGGGTGAAGATGGATTTTTTTTTTTGTGCTCGTTTTTTTTTTTTTATTGCGTCGGTTATTATGCTTTTTTATTTGGCCTTTTTTGGGGCTTAAAAAAGAAGATTTTAGAAGAAAGAAGACATCGAATGGTAAGTTGTTTTTTTTTTTACAGGTACTTAGTTAAAGGTCCCCCCTCATTATTTTTAGGGTGAGTGGGGTAGGTAGGGGAATAATTTTTTTTTGGGTTGGCAGGGGGTGACTAGGGGTTTGGGAACATTTTTTTTATGGCCCCCACACGCCGCTCTGGGGTGGGGGCAGGGGGGGCAGGACAATAGGTCCCCCCATTAGTATTTAGGGCTCCCACCTGCTGCTCAGGGGTGGGGCCAAGGGGGAGGACATTAGGTCCCCCCTTATTCCAATTTAGGGCCCCCACCCACCGCTCAGAGGTGGGGGCCAGGGGGAGGACATTAGATCCCCCTTATTAGTATTTAGGGCCCCCACTCACCGCTCAGGGGTAGGGGCCAGGGGGAGGACATTAGGTCCCTCCCTTATTTTACTGTAGGGCCCCCAACCACCGCTCAGGGGTGGGAGTCAGGTGGGAGGACATTAGGTCCCCCCCTTATCAGTATTTAGGGCCCCCACCCACCGCTCAGGGGTGGGGCCAGGGGGAGGACATTAGGTCCCCCCCTTTATTCTGATTTAGGGCCCCCACCCACCGCTCAGGGGTGGGGGCCCAGGGGGAGGACAATAGGTCCCCCCATTATTTTACATTAGGGCCCCCACCCGCCGCTCAGGGGTGGGGGCCGGGGGGGCAACAGGTCCCCCCTTATTAGTATTTAGGGCCCCCACCCACTGCTCAGGGGGAGGACATTAGGTCCCCCCTTATTCCAATTTAGGGTCCCCACCCGTCGCTCAGGGGTGGGGGCCAGGGGGGAGGACATTAGGTCCCCCCCATTATTTTACATTAGGGCCTCCACCTGCCACTCAGGGGTGGGGGCCAGGGGGGCAATAGGTCCCCCCTTTAGTTTAAAAGCCCCCACTTGGGCGTCGCGGGTGGGGGCTCGGGAGGAACCCCAACAGTGATACAGGCTGCTCACTGTTTAATAGACATGCCCTATTTTCGGTATAGCTGACTGAAATTCAAACATTACTAATACTATGTAATGTTACTTGAAGCGTATTGTAAACCCAGCCCCTGAAAGACCAATTTAGATTCTTTCAACACACAGTGGAAATAACTCTAATATTGGCGGGAATTAGGGAGTTATCTATTTATTCATTCCTATCATTACATTGACTGGCCAAGTAACTTACATTTTATATGAATGTGTGTTACTTGATTGTTGTAAGTGTTGCAAATGCTTACAGCTGAATCCTGGCTATGTTTGTATACTTTTTATTTAAAATTGTATACAATGTAACATGCTTCTTTCACTGGGTGAGTATATTAGTACTTAGGCAATACTGTGCTTCGGAACTTTGGCACTTTGACACTTCGGAACTTCGGCAACTTCGGCACTTTAGCACTTTGGAAGTTCGGCACTTCAGCACTTTGGAAGTTCGGCACTTCGGAAATTCGGTAATTTCGGAACTTCGGGACTTCGCACTTCAGCAATTCTGTAATTTCGGAACTTCAGACATTCGGAAGTACCCGAATGTCCGAATTTCCCGAAATTCGTCCGAATTCATATTCCGACCAAAACTAATTGCACATGTCTATCATTTTTTTTTTAATCATTCTTCAACTACCACATCCAAAGTCTGGAGTATAGCTTCCTTCAAAGCTCTATCTAAGACATTGCATTATAAAAGGAGTGCAGTGAGTTATGCAGACACATTCATTGCTAAACGTAAACAAAAACAGGTAGTATATCACATACAGATACCAACACATTGCAAAAATATAAACAATATTAACAAAAAACTACTATGAAGAAATAACATAAATGTCCAAATACATTAACAAATTTATATCAAGATGTCTGATCTCACACTAAAAACACACTAACGTATTCAAATAATGAGGCTGATTCGATAAACTTGTACATTGTGGGGTGCTAACAAAGGTATAGCTGGTTAAGGCCAAAATCACCATATATGAAAACAATACTAGATCAGTTGCTTTTTTTAACCACTGTGTGACTGACCTTAAAACTCCAATTGATTTATTTTCTAAATGCCATTCTCTTTTTATTTTCACAGAAATTATCTTCATTTAGTTTTTTGTTGGAATTACTGGTAGTTATTTTATTATGTGGCTTATTATTTATTTATTTGATTTATTTATACAATATTTTACCAGGAAGGATACATTGAGATTTCTCTCATTTTCAAGTATGTCCTGGGTCCACAAACATTACATTGTTACCATAGGGTACAGTATATTAAAAATACAAAAACAATATGCGGATTACTTAAAATGTACAGATGACCATGCACCCAGAGCTTGAAGGAATTTATACACACACCACTAAGGCAACAACTTGGTTCAACTGGCTTTATGTAGACACCCATTGAGACTTAAAAACCAAGAGAGTCCAAAGCCCAGAACCTCGAGAACCACAAGCTTCAAAATCTGTAATATGTAACTTTTCCAAAATATTACATTTACAATTTATTTATTTCACAATATGAGCTTCTGCTAAGTTTCCTTTTAGCTGTAATAATAAACTGAATTAAGAGTCATTAGTAGAATTGAAAAATGTATGTTCAACCAGTATTATTTCATAATATAAAGATGAGATATATTGATGACAACATTTGCTCAATTTTTCATACTATATATTCTCATACACTGTCTGTTTTCTTTTTAATTATTTTCTACAACACTAAAATTAAACAGACTGCAATGGGATTCTTTTTTATATATTATAGAAAGATGGGTCAAAATTGCTCTGTTTATTATTCCTATGGCACCCAAGGCCAGTGGTGTTCTCTTAGAACTGTACATGTTTGTGAAGGATATAATGCAGTTCATTATTAAATAAACACTATGCTACCCTTTAAATATGGGTACCAATTTAAACAAACTGCAGTTGTATAGTAAGTCCAGTTTTATTGCATTTCCTTTGTAATACCAGAAAACAAAAATCAAACATACAGTCACATTGCAGTGACACAGTCCAACTCAGACTTTTCTCAAGAGGTGAATGATATATTTTTGGTGAAAATTGGATTTTTATATTCGACAGGTCTATTAAGAACTTACCACTAGCAAACTGTTCATTTTAGTTTTACAATTTAGACGATAAATTGGTAACAGATAAATCTGACATACAATGTTATACTTTGAATTAAAAAAAACACATAAATTATTTCTAAAAGGAAGCAGGTCATTTGGTAACATAGATAAAATCTAAGATGAGAGCACCGATGTGCCTTTAATGTGAATTAAAGTTATCTTGATTGTATACAACTTATTTTTCAAAATGTAATAATTTTAGGAATATTATTCTGGTTAATAAATGAGAGAATATTTAACAGTAGTAAATTATGGTTAGGGAATTACAAAGCAATATTTGCACTATTTTACTTTAGTCGGTCTATTCACAACACTCCCTCTTCAAAGCCTGATAGAACAAACCAGGATTCACCAAGTGGGCCTGAAAAGAAAATACGCAGAAACATACAAGTCTTATGACAAGCTAAGATGGCTATTATCATTGAAATTAGCAATGCATCTAAATTGGTGAAATTTGATTTAAAACACCATCATAAACATGTAATGGCCCTACGTGTCGATAGCAATTTATCGAGAGTTGTTATATTGCGTTTTATATGCTAAGTTTGCAAGTAATGGCTCTAAAAGATGATATGAATGATTTTTTATTCTCTTTAACATTAAAGTGTCAATTCTAAGTTCATTAACCAGCATGTCAATATGACATAGCCAAACAAACTAACATGAAAACTAATAACAATTAATAGTAAGTGTTAAAAAGCACGCTTTCTTCTGGGTTATTATTTTTGCAATTTACTCAATTTCCTTAATAGCAAAACAGTCACGAGGTTTAAAACAATTATGGAGAAAGCGATCGATTTGATATCCACGCACCCATAGGCAGTGGGGAGGTAACAAAATAATTGTGGTGACTGAAAGGGAAAATTATATCATACAATTTGGTGATCTCTAAGGTATCAAAAATGTCTTTTTCAAGCAACCAATATATACAAACAACCTTCTCATTGCCTCCTTTTAACACATAATACACTTTCAGTAATTTCTTCTCAGTTCATATGGGCCCCATACTGTATTTGCTTCATCCTTTGGCCATGTAGCATTATCTTGCAAAGAGTTTGTTTCCGTGGAGTCCTCTGGGGAGAGATGGTGAGTCATCTTGGGAGTGAGTTCATTGGTAACAGTCATAAAAGGAGAAAAAGCATACGATGGTGCTGGGAAACTGGTGGAGTAATGTACATCATCAAGAGCATGTATAGAGTAAGGCTGAGAACCTTGAGCTGCTGATCCTCTGCTTGTACTTCTATAGTGAGCACTTCCTGCTTCGGATGAAAGACAAGTTGTAGAGGAAGACACAGTCTGTGAGGTATCAGGACACAGAACATCCAACTGGCTGATGGTGTCAGGCACAGTCTGTTCCCATGAGTCTCTCTGTGGAATAATACATTTAAATTTAAAATAAATATTAAAGTTAATTTGGGTTTCCGAACTATTATAAGCTGTAAAACCATGCATGGAAAAGTCATGGTGGGTATTACGCAAACACAGAAGATGCTTAGTGGCATGGGGAGGAGTAGCATCATCAACAGTGTTTGAAAAATGGCCTTTTGTGTACATCATTGTCAAGAGAAGCTGGAAGTTGACCATACAGAAAATGTTAAGAAAAGTTAGAATTTTAGTGTCACTTTGTGTATGAAGCAGGCCAATCTGCGCAATTCTGGGTAGTGGCTCAAGCAGTTACATATACATTTGGATCAATATGAACCGTTGGTTCTGTCTCCCATGCCCCTACCACCACATAATGTGCTCCTGGTATGGAGGAAGACGGAACCTTCAGAGTATCTGTGATTCATAATATAATTTGGAATTACCCTTTGTGGACCGTTATTCTGGACCAACAAGGGTAGGAAGGAGACATCTGTCTGTTATGAAACAAAAGAAAATGTTGGTGGTCCGCACAACATAAAACACACACAAAGGTTATTCACTAAGGTGTGAATTGGATGGAATTTAAATGGCAATCAAAGTGTATTTTAACATTTAGGCTAAAAGAGCCAAATTGAAAGCAAATCAGGCATAGGACGTTTTTCCAATTTAGCTGAAAAATTCACTTTAAATTCTTAACATTAACTCTGTTGATAATTTAGAGTCCATGCATTCTCCAATCCTGCATGCAATAGGGGATGGTAAGGGCCATCCTAAACAAAATTGAGTGATATTGACTTAAAAAGTATTTAACGTGTACTGTGGAGTGGTGGAACTAAACACCATATCTGTAGAACAAAACAATGGACAAGAGAGGGTCAGCAATCAACTGGATCCTCCAATATAAATTTTGAGATATCCATATATAAGAAAAGAAGAAAAATGCCTAAACATTTTTAAAACTTTTTGCTTAATACTGGCAAAACAAATCTATTTATCTGTCTTAATCTCTGTCCATCTGTCTGTCTTCTATCTAATAATCATTTATACTTTCTGTCTTCTATCTAATAAGCATTTATACTTTTTAACCACAGTGCTTTTTACTATCATATAATTTAATGGAATTGTCAATTACCAGTAAATAGTGTGATGGGTCACCAGAAAAATGAGGTATTAGTGGTGGTAATGACGACGAACTAAAAAGTGAGCCACTGCCAGATGTAATGGAAGCTCCCCGATAGTCACCGATAGACTCAGTAAAATATGGATCCAGGAGAGGTGGGTAGCTTTGGATGGTTGCTGGGTCACATGACTTTGGGCCCAGAGGTGGAGAGTAAAGATCATTAGGATATTGCTTGGTACTATGGAACTCAGATTCAGGCAAAAATGATCTTCTGACCCCATAATATCCAGACAGCACTGGTGAGCCTGTAAGAGAGAATGATGATGATATTATCAAACCATTGCTAAGACACATATATTGTAACTTAAAACATTTCGATACATAAGAAGTTCATTATTACTATGATTTTGCTATAAGGCAATACAGAAATATAAAATAAATTTAAAAAATACAGCAAACATGAAAATGAGTCTTTTTACAGAGTAAAATTCAGATTCCACTGATTCAGATTTCAGCAACGGAAACACAATTAAATAGAAAAACAAAACAAAACATCAAAATGTTCATTTATGCCAGAAGATAGACAAACATTAACTTATGTTATCTAATATTTACTTAAAAATGCTTACTTGACATTTGGACAAATGGAGCCTGGGAAACGTTGGTACTGCTCTGTAAATGAAAGACATGGTTTAAAATGTTTTAGAAGCAACCCAATATTATGAACATAAATTCAAAGTATGTTGTACACCTGCTATATTGAGAGCTCTAAAGCACTACAAAACTATTTATGATATCTTGTAGAAATATAAGCATGCATGATTGAGATTCACAATTTTTCAAGGATGAGTGAGATTTACAAAATGTTCATTACTTAGTAAACAAAAATAAAATGGAATTTATAATTCATACATCAGGTTATTTGATAATAACATTTTCATATTCTGTTAAATTGCTATAGTTTATTTTAACATATTGGTGTCTTGGAACCACATGTACTTGCAATAGTAACAGGTGTTTCCTTACCTGGTGGAAAAGAAGTCTATAGTTCTGTTCACTCACTTTACCTATAAGCCTCAGTGTTATAAACAAAGCAATGCTGTTAGAAGTAATTATTGTTGGGATAATCACTTGTGTCAGCAAAGATTTCAATGTTCATATATTTGCTCAGACATAATCTCAACCAGTTTTTAAGTTTACCTACAACATCTAAACTATGCAAAAAAGGGTAATGATTCCCATAGCATGGTGAATGGTGATATGTATATATTGGCTTAAATGTTCACACTCAAAATATGCTCTAGATCATCACAGAGGAATATTTCAAAAGTCGCAGGTGTTAGCAAACTGTATGTTCTTTATTGACTTCTAGTTTAAAGTTATATGCCCCTCAAGCTATAAAGTATTCCAGTGAAAAAGGCTATATAATAACTTCCGAAATCTTTTTTTTCTGCTCACATCATTGCTTGTCTGTATAAACCTGGTAGACAAGAACAAGCATTAGAAAACACTGGAAAACTGCAAAATGTGACATGGTGGAATTCGTTTTCGAAGAAGGAAAGATGACCAGATCTGGGTTGCGGAAATTGCTCCATATAATTTCTAAACATTTATCTATGATCTAATGGGAAAAAGGCTTACCAAGACTCAATAGATAAAGGACTGTATGGGTAAAGGTATATGAGTATACAGTTGCAAGAAAAAGTATGTGAACCCTTTGGAATGATATGGATTTCTGCACAAATTGGTCATAAAATGTGATCTGATCATCATCTAAGTCACAACAATAGACTATCACAGTCTGCTTAAACTAATAACACACAAAGAATGAAATGTTGCCATGTTTTTATTGAACACACCATGTAAACATTCACAGTGCAGGTGGAAAAAGTATGTGAACCCTTGGATTTAATAGCTGGCAGCAATAACTTCAACCAAACGTTTCCTGCAGTTGCAGATCAGACTTGCACAACAGTCAGGAGTAATTCTTGACCATTCCTCTTTACAGAATTGTTTCAGTTCAGCAATATTCTTGGGATGTCTGGTGTGAATCGCTTTATTGAGGTCATGCCACATCATCTCAATCGGGTTGAGGTCAGGACTCTGACTGGGCCACTTCAGAAGGTGTATTTTCTTCTGTTTAGGCCATTCTGTTGTTGATTTAGTTCTATGCTTTGGGTCATTGTCCTGTTGCAACACCCATCTTCTGTTGAGCTTCAGCTTGTAGACAGATGGCCTTAAGTTCTCCTGCAAAATGTCTTGATAAACTTGGGAATTAATTTTTCCTTCGATGATAGCAATCCGTCCAGGCCCTGATGCAGCAAAGCAGCCCCAAACCATGATGCCCCCACCACCATACTTCACAGTTGGGATGAGGTTTTGATGTTGGTATGCTGTGCCTTTTTTTTGCCACACATAGTGTTGTGTGTTTCTTCCAAACAACTCAACTTTGGTTTCATCTGTCCACAGAATATTTTGCCAGTACTGCTGTGGAACACCCAGGTGCTCTTGTGCAAACTGTAAACGTGCAGCAATGTTTTGTTTGGTCAGCAGTGGCTTCCTCTGTGGTATCCTCCCATGAAATCCATTCTTGTTTAGTGTTTTACGTATTGTAGATTCGCTAACAGGGATGTTAGCATTTGCCAGTGACTTTTGTAAGTCTTTAGCTGACACTCTAGGATTCTTCTTCACCTCATTGAGCAGTCTGCACTGTGCTCTTGCAGTCATCTTTACAGGACGGCCACTCCTAGGGAGAGTAGCAGCAGTGCTGAACTTTCTCCATTTATAGACCATTTGTCTTACCGTGGACTGATGAACAGCAAGGCTTTTGGAGATACTTTTATAACCCTTTCCAGCTTTATGCAAGTCAACAATTCTTAATCGTAGATCTTCTGAGAGCTCTTTTGTGCGAGGCATCATTCACATCAGGCAATGCTTCTTGTGAAAAGCAAACCAGAACTGGTGTGTGTTTTTTATAGGGCAGGGCAGCTGTAACCAACACCTCCAATCTCATCTCATTGATTGGACTCCAGTTGGCTGACATCTCACTCCAATTAGCTCTTGGAGATGTCATTAGTCTAGGGGTTCACATACTTTTTCCACCTGCACTGTGAATGTTTACATGGTGTGTTCAATAAAAACATGGCAACATTTCATTCTTTGTGTGTTATTAGTTTAAGCAGACTGTGATTGTCTATTGTTGTGACTTAGATGATGATCAGATCACATTTTATGACCAATTTGTGCAGAAATACATATCATTCCAAAGGGTTCACATACTTTTTCTTGCAACTGTATATGAATACGCCCAAGGTTGTGCCATTTACTTGTGCTTCCTCTTCAGTTACCAGCTCTCAATTCCACAAAAAAGGTTTAATCCCATTAAACCGGCATGCCACTTTTTAATGTGCTACAATGAGTAGCCCATTTGGGAAGAATTGAATTGAAATGTAAACAAAAATAGTCAAGACACACACACACATCTATGTTCTAGTATTTTCATCTCCAGATTTTGATAGCTATTTGGAAATGTCTAAAAACTGTTTTGTATGTAAGATGGCATATGATAAATTACTTGGATATTAAAAGGGAACGTTGTGATATTATGAAAGACTGACAATATCACAATATAGAGTATGAGCCACTTCTGAGACAAAAGAAAACTCTCACTTTATGCTGTGTATCTGAAGCACATGAAACCTATTCGAACAATGTAAGAATAACACACAGTATCGGAAAAGTAAACAACATGCAGAGAGATGGTAGCACAGTCCTTTAGATCAATGTGATTGTGTCGTGTCCTTGGACTAAAATATCTAAGAGTTTTTTTTTCTTTCAGCCCATTGAGAGACAGTATCTAATGAAAACCCCCAAAATGCAAGAAATTCCAGCAGTATGTTGTCTTCATTTTCTGCAAGGGGGACATAATAAATAGCAATGAATGTTAAGTAGGATAGTTGATCATTGGTTGAAGAAGTGTTTCACCCAAGGTTTATCAGCTACACCATCACATGTCACTGTTCTGATGTTTGATCAGTGGCCTTGTATTCCTTCCTAATATAAAACAAACCACGTACGGAGGGAATTTTATAGAAGACAAAGTCTAACTTGCAATTTATGTGGCAGAGATGGTATAACATTTCAAAATAATGATCGTAAATGATGGCAAAACATATAACGTAAATGATGGCAAAACATAGATGGTATGATATGTCTGCAAGCTATACAGCAAGTGCCACAAATATAGCTCTATTTACGGTTGGGTTTAATTAGAAGGTCCCCTGCAAAAATCTACAGAGCGGATTGTCAAAGAATTTACCTTGATTCCAAGGTTCAAGCTTATAGGTGTCATATTAAATATCCTATATTAAAATTGGCTAACTTGGACTCAGGAAATGCTGAATGCTTAAAACGACACTTAAGACCATATATGTCTAGTTCCGGGAGCAGATAGCTCCCACCTGAGCTGTCTCTCCTAAGTCAGTCTGTTCTTTCTCTTTCCCGGCACTTATCTGTTATATCTACATGACGTTCATTCTTATGTCTTATCTGTACTCCTTCCCTGTTATTTCACTCCCTATCTACTACTGTTGTATGAGTATTTGCACGTAAGCACTTACTTTTTAATGTATAAAAGCACAAACTGATAAAATAAACGTCAGAGGCTTATTTTGATAACCAACACGCGTCTGGTGTCTAATTCACGCTTCTCCAAGTGCACTTGATACAATTTGGTTTCCCCTGAATATAACAAAGATCAATATTGGATCTATAACAGGTATAGTAAGGAATAATAACTTCATCAGTAATGGAAATGTCAGTCATTTTATGGTGTTTGATGACCTATGGTCATCATGCCCACCTGTAGCTCCCCTACCCAATGCCCATGGTCATCATGCCAACCAGTGATGTCCCTATCCAATGCACATGGTCATCATGCCCACCAGTGAGGCCCCATGCCAGTGCCCATGGTCACCATGCCCAGCAGTGACAGGTCCACATCAATAGTTTACAGGCCCTGTCCCCAAACAATGTTACCATTCTAGAGACTGAGCAGCAATAGCTGAACTTTTGCTTGAGTAGATATACATCTACCTGAGGGTTATATTTACCCTCATAGGCTTTGGCATTTTAAGTTTGACATCCCTCTGGGCAGGATTTGCACTACTTTATAGATGGAGTGAAAGAGGAGGATTAGATGAGATGAAGCAGTAGCTCAGATGCAAATCATAAACTGTATGATTGTTGCAAGTGATAGATATTCCTGATCCTGAATTGGAGTCAGATCCTCCATACCTGCATTTTACTGCACAAAGGACAATTTCAGGGAAGAGAAGACTCAGTGTGTTATGTGATATAAAAACAATTTTAAATGTAAGCCTTCTAATCTATCGGACTATATTTTATTGTTATTTTTGCATGGTCTTCTCTTTTCCATTTTTGCCATAATGTATTGGGCTGCAGAGGATCACCACTATAATACTTCTCTGTTATCTGAAGCAGAGTGATTTTTTAGCAGATATCTTAGTCAAGCTTTGGTTCTTTGTTGTGTGCTTTTATTAAATCTTGGATGTAGAGTTATATTTGTTTTAAGATTTCTCAAATAACAATTTTATTAATATTTAGTTTCATAAATTTTATGGATACATAAAATAATGATTTTGTTATATAGTGTGCTTCTATATATTGTTGGCCACTGTATGAACCATTGTAGGGACCTTGACCACTCGTGCCATATGCAGATGCTCTAGAAACAGCACATGCTTATGAGGGAGCACCTCCACCTATGAGTTGAGGGAGCACCTCCACTGTATTGTGTAAATGAACACAACAAAGACATTATGCCTGTACTAGACACATCCTATATGTAATATATATATCATCTGCTGGAACCATTACTATACATGAGACAGTTGCATTTTTTTACTTCATCTACTAGTTAAACACACAGGGTACAAATTCTCCTATAAAAAAAATCTACCACAAACCTAGACTCATTCATGGCTGGAGTGGGAAATAAAAGCAGCTCTGGAAAAAAAATTCTATACCAGACCAAAATTGTGTTGCGCCAGCATAGTGTGCAGATATGGAGGTGAAAAAGATAACTTAAAAATGTGAATAATTACTTCAATGAGAAAGAAAGCATGCATAGGGCTTCAAAATTAACAAAAGAGCAGATTTATTTCAAATAAATGTGCATTAGCATATAATCAATGTTTCAGTCCAATTACCATGACATATCAAGGATAGTTTAGTAATGGGACAGAAATGGTGATTGCATGCTGTTGCGCAACTGTAAAAAATGAAGTTATCTTGTTTATTTGAGTCCTATGAGTGAGCTCTCCACTTTGAATGTTATTTTGATGGAGTGTGCACCTAGCAACCTGACTGGGCCAATACGTGCTCATTACATATATGTTAATGAAACCCCAGCCCCTCAAAGTATCTCATTCACCCCACTCCAGCCCCTCCATGTATCTCATTCTCCTCACTCCAGCCCCTCTATGTGTCTCATTCACCCCACTCCAGCCCCTCCATGTATCTCATTCTCCTCACCCCAGCCCCTCTATGTGTCTCATTCACCCCACCCCAGCCCCTCCATGTGTCTCATTTTTCCCACCCCAGCTCCTCCATGTGTCTTATTCTCCCCACCCCAGCCCCTCCATGTGTCTCATTCTCCCCACCCCAGCTCCTCCATGTGTCTTATTCTCCCCACTCCAGCCACTCCATGTATCTTATTCACCCCACCCAGCCACTCCATATGTCTCATTCTCCCCAATTCAGCCCCCCATGTGTCTCATCCCACCCCACATGCTTTATTCCCCCCACTCGTGTCTCATTTACCAACCCCCCCAACCCCTCCTATTCTGCATGTAGCAAGGCTGAGCCGCAGACCACGGGAGAGGAGCACCAAACTGCTTCCTGTCAGACAAGAGAGAAAAAACAGAAGCTCCTCTCCTGTGGTCTGCTGCTCTGCCAAGCTACATGTAGTGACTGGCTGGAGGAGAGCGATGTGCTGTGCGTTTCCCCTCTTGCCTGGCACTCAGCGATCGTGCCTCCCGGGCAGGTGCGCCCTAGGCGTCTGCACACCGGCCATGAAGGTATGCTGGCCCACTGGGAAATTTGACAGTAACCCAGTGGGCCAGTCCAATCCTGATCTCATTGCTTTGATGAACTGTTTGTGTGTCCTAAGTGTGCTTATACAGGGAACTTCTACTTTAATTTATACTGAACCCAACTCGTTTGCTTAGATTCCTTTTTTGTTATGTCTGATATTGGCCTTGGATTTTCTGCCTTGTGTTTGTAAATCCCTTATTGTCCTGTATTATTGTGTTGGCCCATAATCTTGCCACAAAAAGCTTGGGCTAATTTCTTGGCAATGTTCAACTGACTTCTCTGGAAACCTACGAACGTCAACTCCTTCTCCAGATTTCCTATTGGTATTCATACTTAATTGAAAGCATGATATTTGTAATAAAATGTTCACAATGTATCTGTTTGTGCTCATGCGTAATACATTGCTACAATTAAAGGGTTTCTCCATCCACCATGACCACTTTAGTGATTTGAAGCAGTCAGGGTGGTAGGAGTTTGGATTTGCAGTGTTTCCGCTTCAAACACTGCACATTCAGAGATATTTGCACTTATGTGCCATGAGTTAGTTACATGCTTGGCCCACGTAATCAGTACGCAAGCCACGCTTACAACAGCCTGCTGCAGGAAGTTCATTCTCCCCTCCCTCACTCTCTCCGATTGCGCTATCCTTCGGCCTCTCTCCATTGCTTGAATTTTACTTTCGCATTATTAAATTAAAATTAATTTCCCGCTCATCCAAAAATCCCTATCTCTGATCCATTCACCAGAACAAACCGTGTGTATGCCCTCTGAGCTGGAAAAATTGCCCAAACACAGGCTTCTCTATGAGAAGCCTGTGCTTGGATCGCGTGAGGCCTCCTGCTGATATCTGGTGGACAAAAGAGATAAGTTTTAAGTTTAAATTTAACATTTTCAAGGGGGTAGGGACCTATTAGCATTAGGTTTTTAGGCAGGTATGTTAAACTTTTATTCCTGTGTGACTAATCTGATTCACAGATAAGCATACATGTTCCAAAGAAACACAGAGCTGAACAGTTTAGTTTCATATTTCTGAGGAAATACAAGAGATCGACTAGATTAATGTGTGATTTCCTGAATCGCAGATGACAATGTACACTATCATTTTGCATAAAACAAACAGAAGGTTCCTGCTGAATGCGACAGACAAATTTGAAGGTTAAAATTTGAATGAAATTTGCTCATCACAGGCTTCCTTTAGTCAATGCCGAAGATCAGCAGCTGTCCGGAGAGAAAAGAAACTACATGGAAATGGAATCATTAAAAACAACATGTTTACTATCTGGCAACTGATTGAAGCACTGGTGAAAGACTAAGCGAAGGCTGTCTGCAAGAACATAGTCCCTGTTTGAATAAGCATTAAATAGTATTGTCTTCTACAAGGCACCGATCCATTCATAACATTCTAAAGCTCTGGTGACTTTTTGTAAAGACATCGGAGTGTTTCTACAATTCCTATATACTTCAAAATCAAGGGAATGTGAATAGCATTTATGAATGAAATCATAATTACCAAAACAGTCCAATAGGCAGTTTCTGTTCATTACTTAGAGTTTTTTTTGATTATGTGCACATATATTGTATATATGTTATATAACAACATTGGCTTAATGAAGCAGTTTTGGTGTATTTGCCATGTCCCTGCTGTGTCCTGGCACCATTTGATGCTATTTAGAAGTTAAATCTCTTTGTTTATGCAGTCCTAGCTTCACCTCCACTGGCTGTGACTCATGCAGCCTTCATGGAAAAAAGGTTTCATTTTCAAAACAATCTTACATTCTTGCAGCACAATGTTTTTCCCGTTCTTCTTGTCTATAGTTCTTATTTGCTGCTCTGTTAATTTAACTTTGATCACAATAAGCAGGGAGCCTCAGGATCCAGCAGACAATTAACAGAAAGAATCAGAGAAACTGAGATAGGAGTAAATAGTTCTGATACATGGAAACTGGGGGTAAGCCTAACAAATTACAAACAAGAAAAAAGAAAATGTAAAGGACTGACAAATTAATATGTAATGTTTAATGGTTAAATATTAATTTGTTGGTCCTTGGTATTTTCTTGTCTATTGCATGATAAGTTTAAATTAAACATACCATGTAAAAAAAAAAGGTTTAAAAATTAGATAATGTTTTCATTAAATGTGTGAGGAGGCTGTGTGAGTCACAGCCAGGGGAGGTGTGGCTAGGATTTCATAAACAAAATGATATAACTCCTAAATTGTAGAGAATTGAGCAGTGAAACTGCAGCAGGATTATCTGTACTGCTACCATGAAAGCATGCTCAATGGAATGGTTGCCAGCGTGACTGAACTTATGTCAGAATTATTGTGTAGTCACAGAACACAGAATAAAATGACAGATGGTTGTGTCTATCTGAATGTAAAGTATTATATTTGTGCATATGTTAACATGAATCAATTTTAATATTGTAAAACTAAAAAGTTATGAAGGCAGGATACCAAAACATATATCAGAGAACAATCACTCACGTTCTTACTAAACTGTTAATCTTTAACCCAAACGTCTGATGAACTTGGCAAATAATATTTTTTGTTTGAGTTGGCATTTCTTTTAGACATAACAAAACTACTGTTATTTAATATCAATAACTTACATAATAACTTCAAAGTAAACTAGAGGACAACTAAGTTAAGACATGGAAATTTATTAAATTTTGAAAAGCAAAGTGATGTCATCTCCCTGAAGTGCAAAGGTTCCTTAACTCCTTTGAGTATGGGACCTCTCAGGGGTCATGGATGCAGATGTTGAGACTGCTTGGGAAAGTCTGCTTGGGAAAGTCTCCTGGTGGGCTTCTGAACATCTCTGTTGCCTTTAAAGGGAACCTGTCATCAAGATTTTTACTTAACTTAAATAAGCTTCGAATATATTGAATAGATAATGTAATTCATGTAAAGTTTGAGATATATTCACCTCACCTCCGTTCTACCAAAAGGTAGATACCCAGATTTTTGTAGAACTACAACTCCCATGATGCTTTGCATGCCTTTAGAATGCCATTAGAATGCCAAAGCATCATGGAAGCTGTAGTTTTAAAACATCTGGATCTACCTCTTGGGCCCTAGACTTTCCATAGCAACTACAGTGCATGCACTGTGGTTTCTATTGGTGAAGAGCAGAAAGAGGAGTGTGATGTCTTTTCCGTTTTCCCTTGTCAATCAATTCTTTGGCATAGAGTCAATGCCAAAAAAAAATTGATTGACAGTTGTGAGGAAGACCTACCTTTAAGTAGTTTTTTCTCCCAATCTATACATTTTCTAGCAAACCTGCTAGATCAATGTATTGATTGAATTGTATGCTCTTTCAAAAGAGTTAAAGCTGTTTTTGTCTGGACTGAAATGTTTTAACAACAGAAATAATAAGGTCATTCATGTTTATATTTTAGCTTGTAGTATACAGTATGTTGGAAATGAAGGGTTTACATTGTAATCGCAGTTTTATCAACGTTTATTTCAGGTCTCCACCCATTAGTCAGATCAGAAATGTAATTCCAGACACTGCCCTGCTCATCCCTAACTAAACATTTTTACAGCCTGATTTACAATACAGCTATACGCTCGTTTATGTTTTATAGATTGTATATGAGCACATCTGCTCCACTAAATTTTAATGGCAGAAAATTAGCTATAAAGCAGTAAAACAAATCTCCTGCATCGTGCAAAAGGTACCTGCTCCAAACAACAAAGTATGTGTTATTAAATTGCTAGATTTTATTGTTTGTCTGGATTCCGGTGAAATGAATGCATTCATTTACAATTAGCACTATAGCCATATTTTACCCTATATAGCTATATCCATGCTCTAGGAGTAACATATATAAATCCTCTATCTTTTTTATTTCCAAGTCACGTCTATGCCCTGAATGAGCAAAGATAATGTGACCATTAGCTGAATGTGTCTGTTGTCAAACTGTCTCTTCCTTAGTTTAAGAATATTAATGCTTGGCTGCCTCTAGCCAGGTCATACTCTATCTAAACATAGATTAGAAATAAAATTAATAGAATAAGATATAAAATATAACGTTAAAATTAATTACAAGAATCAGTACTGTGTGAAAGCCAATGTAATGATTGACAAAGAAGTGAGATGTGGGAGCAGCAGTCACTCAGGAAGAAGTGTCCCCAGTCAGGAAAATGAGAAGATGGGTTTGAAGAAGAAGAAGAGCGTGGTCAAAAGTATTGAAGGCTACCTTGAAAAATGCATTTTAGAAGTCTCAAATCTAAAATATGAAGTAATTTAAAAAGCTTATCCAAAATATTAAATTGAGTAACATGATGCTTAGAATGACCCTGCACTATAGACTTAGCACATAACAGATTGGACTGAACATAACAGAACACTAGTGTTAGAACATTAGGGTCCGTCACAGAGTGCCGTAAACTCAGTAAACTGCACCCAAAAGACGTAACTAGATTCAGCACTGAGAACCCACAGGGGACCTTACATTGAATAATTGAACCACAATACTGCACAATAATATTTTTATAGGATTTTACGATAATAATAATAATAATGATAGTTATTATTAGCGCCTGCAGGCAGGTCTGGACGCAAACCATTTTCTTTTTATTTCACAAATACAGTCTGCAGCAGCGCAGACACCAGCTATATGTAAATGACTTATTCATAAATTCTTGTCAAAACCAAACAAACCGTATTGTTCCCGTCTAATCCTCTGTTTACAACTTGACTGCGTTTATTACGAGGCATGAAACTTGCAAAGAAGAAAAGAAAACTCCGACAGGCAGCTAAAAGGGCAAAATCCATGTAGAGGTAATTGTAGCAACAAATTAAAAAAAATATAATTAGTTTGAAAGATAATAACAATTAGGAACATGTATTATACCAGAGTGTATCATTAACCCTTTTTAATAACTCAGCAAAGACTGCCACAATATAAGGAGATTTTTCCATTCCTTAACCCTTGTAACAAAGAGGTTAATAATGCACATTTCAACTTAAAGGTAGAAAAAAAAAGATTAAGACTCAGAATCTCTGAGCATAATAATGTCATCATACTATATTCCACCAATATATAAGTTAAAAGCCATTTGAATTCATTGTTAACTGCATAGACTGCACTGTACAATAAGTATTTACAGCATGGGTGTCCAACATTTGGCTTCCCGGCCGGCCACTTTGAGCTTAGAGAAATTATCTTGGGCCACACACAAAATATATAATATAATTAATTTAAATAATAAAAATTCCAAAGCCGTATTTTAAATTTTGATACTTCAATTGTTTAGTAGATAACTCCCTTATTTGTTATCCCTATGTGGGATTGCCATATTTAATTATTCCAAATTAGGGAGATATCTACTAAACACGTAAACATGTAAATACATATACATGTACACCAGGGGCGTATTAGCCGCGAGGCAAACAAGGCATTTGCCTTGGGCGGCATTTTTCAGGGGGCGGCAAAAAACGCCGTCCCCCCAAATGCCCAAGGCAAATGTCTTGTTAGCCTCGCGGCTAACAGACATTCTGGGCGCTGGGCGGCAGTGGCTGCAGCGCTGGGCGGGCGGCCGGCGAGGGAGCTCTTCCCCTGAGCGCTCTGCTCAGCTCCCTCGCGCGCCGCTAGCAGAGTGAGGCTGGGAGCCGGAATATGACGTCATCAACCCGGCTCCCAGCCTCACTCTGCTGGCGGCGCGCGAGGGAGCTGAGCAGAGCAGAGCGCTCAGGGGGAGAGCTCCCTCGGCGGCCGCCCGCCCAGCGCTGCAGCCACTGGACCCCAGGGAGAGGAAGAACCCCCCCCCCAGCATTACCAAAGGTAAGGAGGCTGGGGGGGGGTTAAATAAAAAAACAAAAAAAATACACTAGTGTGTGTGTGGAAGTCTGTTAGTGTGTGTATGTTAGTGTGTCTGTTAGTGTGTGTATGTTAGTGTGTCTGTTAGTGTGTGTGTATGTTAGTGTGTGTGTCTGTTAGTGTGTGTGTGTGTGTGGATGTCTGTTAGTGTGTGTATGTTAGTGTGTGTGTCTGTTAGTGTGTTTGTGTGTGTGGATGTCAGTGTGTGTATGTTAGTGTGTCTGTTAGTGTGTGTATGTTAGTGTGTGTGTGTATGTTAGTGTGTGTGTGTGTGGATGTCTGTTAGTGTGTCTGTTAGTGTGTGTATGTTAGTGTGTGTGTGTGGATGTCTGTTAGTGTGTCTGTTAGTGTGTGTATGTTAGTGTGTGTGTGTATGTTAGTGTTTGTGTCTGTTAGTGTGTATGTTAGTGTTAGTGTGTGTATGTTAGTGTGTATGTTAATGTTAGTGTATGTATGTTAGTGTTAGTGTGTGTGTGTCTGTTAGTGTGGATGTCTGTTAGTGTGTGTGTTTGTCTGTGGTGTGTGTGTCTGTTAGTGAGTGTGTGAGTGTGTGTCTGTTAGTGACTGTGTGTTTCTGTTAGCTAGTGAATGCGTATCTGTCAGTGAATGTGTGTGTGTGTGTATTTAGAAGGCGGAGCAGGGGGGAAGGTTGGGTGGCGGTTGCGCGGGTGGGGGTGGCACGGGGGGGTGCCTGAGTTTTGTCCTGCCTAGGGCAGCACAAAACCAGGATACACCACTGATGTACACGTAACCACAGATGTAGACATACACACACACGCACACACATCTAATCACAGAACTATACACACATACAATCACAGACATATGCACACACAATCACAGATCTATACACACACACACACACACACAAACAATCACAGACATACACATAATCATAGACATACAAAAACACAGTCATAGATACACACACAATCACAGATACACACACAATCACAGATATACACACACACTAACAGACAGACAGACACACACAAAATCACAGACCTATACACACAATCGCATACATACACACACATATCATCAGATATATACACAAACAGACACGCATACACACATAATCACAGACATACACAAACACAATCACAGACCCACACAATCACATACACAAATAATTACTGGCATACACACAAATCACTTGGAACTCTAGGAGGGCTGGTGTGGATCCTCTCAATGGTGGCCAGTTGTTGATGCTGTGATGGGATCACTGTGCTCTTCCTGCACAGGTCCCTTGTGCGCCAAGTAGTGATGCTGAAGCCAGGATTGTCACGACTACTGTATGAACACGCAGAACTATGAAAATAATAATATATACCAGGCCTTAAAATGGCCAGACTTAACGTATAAGAGAAAGGTCAATAAACTCACCATGGTCAGGAATACAGAAGTAGCCAAAAGTCAGGGATACCGGAAGTATGGAAAGTCAAATACGAGCCAAAGTCAAATACCAGAAATAACAATGAACAGGAACGCACTCTCAGACAACCACCAACAAGTGGAAACCACAACAGTGCACTGAGAAAAGGCTAGTTGGGGTTTATATATGCCTCTCTGTGTAGTGATTGGCTAGTAAGTGACTTCTGACCCCAAAAAGTGTGTGTGCGTCGAGGATGTGACGTCACACGAATGTTGGTGCCATATTTGTTATGGGCAATAGGAACACTAATAATTAGTTCGGGACCACAGTGGGCGGCATCATTTAGAACGCTATTGGAAACCATCAGGGAAGAGGATCAGACGGCAATCCGCCACAATCCAGGTAAGTAATAATTTCCCCTTTCGGTGCGACCGCTCTGCTACTGGCTCTCTGGAGGGCACGCTTAATTATTTGTTTCCCTGTCTTCCTCCCTGCCCGGATGACAATTGGGCTGTATTACAAGTGGTTAGGGGTAGCATGCATCCCACGTTTTGGACACGCCTGATTTAGAGTATTAAAAATGTATATTTGTGGGCTTAATTTAGTTGTGTTACTGTGACTGGGTGCTGTTGAGTTCACATCTCCCAAGTTCCTCATCTTTTAAAATGGCTTCTCTCTCTTCCTCACCATACCCCCAGGAAGCAGGTTTGAAGGATAAACTTTATTAATACATTCTAACATTCAGTGAGAGGAAGGAGGGAGGGCTTAAATGTCAGTCAGTAATGGATGTGGATTATTTAAAACCTGCTGTAGCAGCTTGCAAAGCTCTATATAGTTTGCATAATTAACCTAATGGAAACTACTTTATGTGGTTATTATGTCTACATACATTCATTATAATCACAATTTTTTGCAATTTATTTTTATAAATCTGTATTGCTAATTGCAGGCTTGTAACTAATACCCAGACGCAAGGTATTTCTGTGCTAATGTTTCAAACCGTACCTGAAATATTGAATGAACAGAGATACAATTTTCAGGGTCATTCACTAATGAGAGAATTATCAGGAATTCACAGTGCATTTTAAATTTAAGGCCAGAGCCAATGGCCAAACCCAAATTCTTCAGCTTTGACCTCAAATTTTAAATTCACTGTAAATTCACTTCCCACAAATTCTAATTTCAGTGAATAGACCCAATAGTCTCTAACTTTTAAGTAAACGATATTCTTGTAAAGGATGCAAAAACGATTGCTTATGACATATTATGTCTATTAATATATTATTTGTAGCATTTAATTAAATATGTTGTTTCCATTGAGCTATTGCTTCCTTCTTACCTGTTGATATTGTGATCTGCAAAGTTTACATAATTTTTCCCCCAAAATAATTAATTGATCGGTAGAATGAGTAAGTCAGTAGATTTAATGTGGTTTCATGTTTTGAAACAGTTAAAGTTTTCTGCAAATCAGTTGTACATAATTTATTAATAATTGATGTATCTGTTTTCTTGCCATATTTTTCACTGTATGACATGTAATTACCAGTTTTCTGCTTGTAAGATCTGTTACAAAATACAAACTATGGTAACTGACAAAGAATATTACTTACGTGTGATCTAGAACCAGTTGTTTGTCTGGATCTTTTTTCTGCTAGTAGATCTTTGACTGTGTGTTTTACTCGGACACCTTGGTAAATCCTTTTATTGAAATCAGTTGGAACTAGCAAAAAATGCAAACATAAAATTAAACAGAAATACAGTAACAATATGTATATATGTACATATAACAAGTGTTACAGGCTTGCTTATATTTTTATATTGAGATGGCTAAGACATTTTTTAATATTAATCAAATTATCAGTCTTTTTCTATGCATTGATGCTGTATGAATTACCTGTTGAGAAACAGAAAAGACACACACAAATAAATATGCATGTATGCACACATATACACAAAAGGATTTTTATTAACAAAGAAATATGAATGCTGGGACTTGGAGCTAACTTTGAGTTTAGTTACTAACTCTATTGTATACTAACTACAGGGGCTGAAGAAGAATAACCACTGTGGTTATAGTGACCTAGAAGAACATATGACTGTGATGAGACCATATGGGCACCCTCTAGTGGACAAGAGGTGTGAACGGAGAAAGCAGAGGATTTAGGCATATTAGAGAATTTCTTTGCAGGATGCAATCGCTGTACAGAATGCAGTATATTGTTCAGAACATTTTACATGCTGTGGTATTTGTGGGAAGTCAAATTCCCTGAAATGCCAGTATGTTCCTATACATGCCCACAGACAGGATATTTGACCAGTTTTTATAACAATTTGTGTCACCCACGTGGTGTGTAACAAAATTAACCATTTTCAGATCTTGTATGAAAAATTGCAAGACTTTTATTTCTAAGACATTCCCAAATATGTCTCTAAATGAGTGAAAAATTTAAATTGTATAATATTACTTTATCATTCCCATTGTACAGCGCTACAGAATCTGATGGCGCTATATAAATAATAAAATAATAATAGGTATCCTTGATCGATCTACACACAATTCATCATCATTCTGTCTGTAATTCAGTTTATCCACTAAAAGTAGGTAAACGACAATAGCTTAAACTACACAGCAAAGAAGTTAAATAAGAAAAAAATTAAATAAAACTCATTAAACTTATATTTTATTTTTTGTAAAGTGTAGTTGTGTAATATTATTACATAGTTTTATTTATTATTACATAATTACATAATATTCATGAAAACTAGAATCTAGTACTTTCTGCATGTCTCTCTTGTGTATATCATCAAGTCTTGGACAATGGAAAAAGATTTTGCTTAGTCATAGGGTCTAGGCAAGTCTATGTTGCTTTAGATTTTAAAGAGATTTGACGTTTATTAATGTTTTTTGGGAAAGGAGCATATGAAAAGGGAAAGGAACCACTATCACATACTGCATATCAGAAAGAAAGCAGGAATATTCTAGATTTAATAGAAACATTATGGCAGAACAATATTTTAATAAATCTTGGTTTAAATACGGTAGGAGGCACTGAGGCTATCTTGCACTAGATGATGAAGATTTTCCGGGTCATAGACTATAGTGTAAACTGTCCGAAATTCAAAGTAAATTTCAAATATTAGTGCAAAACAGTCAAAGTAAAAACAGTCAGCTTGCAGAATTTTTACAATTATGCTTATATTGGCCTAAAACGAAAAATCTATGTTGAATTCACGTTAAATTTCAAACGAAACCGACAAGTGTTTTGAAGAAGCATCAAAGTGTTCTGTCACTGTTGGGGGTCTTTGCATATTTTGCAGAGATTCCTGTAAGTGACTTATTGAGTTAGGGTCTGGTGGCGGGGGTGTAGTCGAAGGTATGTGTAACAAAATCCCTTGTTAAACAGACTATGCGAACCAGCCTGTTCGGTTATTTAGACGTGTGTGGGGTGATTTCGTGCAAATAGCAATAAAACAAATAAACTAAATTAACCACCCAGACTTTGCGGTTAACCACAGAGTAATTGGGGAACAGCTTGGTGGTCCGCGTTCGTCTGACAAACACGTGGCAGTCGCCATTTTAAATCGTCGAACGCACAGCGGTAAACGGCGGCGATGCCCTGGAACTCTTTTTCGGATACTTATTCTGCCGAACACCGCTGATACTTACCAAGGTTCATACGGTTGAAAACACACGAATACAGGAGACATTGCACCGTTCGGGACTTGGATTTATGCGAAAGAGACTGACCCCAGATAGCTACAGTGTGGAACTCTTTGTCGGATACAAACACGCGAACGGCCGGTGAAGTCCAAACTTCATTCGACGTTATTGAGAACTGTGTTCGTGGGATCTGAGCGCTATTCGCCTAGAATATGCACTCAGATCCAAGCTATCTGGGGGTATGTGGGACTTAAAGTTTATGTTCAGTAAAATATAAGTTATAGATTTTTATGCTGTTTTGTGAATATGGGAAAAGCCATGTTTCTTTCTACCTGCAGATCCTTTACAGTATGTTTTACTTACCTGAAGCAGTGCTGTACAACACTGCTATCCATGGAAGATGCAGTGACACCCCTGAAGCCTTCATAGGTCACATCTCGAGAAGATGCCTGAATCCCAGATCTGACTGTTTAGGGCTGAACATAAGTTGACTGTGGTCCTCTACCTTTTGTCAAATTCATGCTTGCCCATAAGACAAAGTAGTTGTCTTCACAATTCTTATTTCTTTTTTAAAAATAACTTTTATTAATTTCCTTTCCTTTTTTCTTTTTACCAAAGATTTACAAAACAATAATGACCACAAAAAAACACAAACAGAATCGGGATAATAATAATGACCACAGCATTAAGTTCTATGTAATACATACAAAACAAAATAAACAAAATAATAACTACTGGAGCCTGTCGATGCTCCCTATAGGAAACAGGGCTAAGCGTCTATAGTTAAAACATATACTTAAATCTTATTGGCTGCCAGCCAGGTAGAAGGATACTTCAACGTCATTATTTTCTCTAAAAAGGACTACTTCATTATTATTATTATTGCCATTTATATAGCGCCAACAGATTCCGTAGCGCATTGTATTGTGTGCTATTTGCAAGACATTATTTGATATAACATTTGATTTTTCTGCTGCCCCTTCAAACCATTTTCTACCATTTTCCATCTTAAGCTGCCATAACACTTGATTGGAAAATGTTGATTTTGTAAAAACATGACTCTGTTTCCAACCTGCAATTAACATCTTAACTGCTGCACAAGTATGAATTATTAAATATGCTTGTTCTTTTAAACATCCAGACAAATTCATATTTAATAAAGCAATTTTGAGGGAAATTGTAATGTTTGTCTTCAGTGTTTTTTTGATGAACTCGAAGGTCCATGACCATAAGGTACGTACTTTTTTACATTCCCAAAACATATGAACATAGGAACCTACCTCTTCTTTGCATCTCCAGCATTTATTATCACTATTTGGAAACATTTTAGCTATTCTAGTTGGAACAAAATACCATCTATTAAAATACTTAAAGTGCATTTCTATAAATGAGAGATCATGGATATGATTGCTCATCAAGAGACTGGTTCAAATCTTATTCCCATATAGTAATATTACTGTTCCTTTCTCTGTTATTGAATACTTTAATTACTTTTGCGCATTTAGCCAACATTTTTTTATTGTTTTTCTGCCTAAATATTTTTTCCAGCATCAATACTACCTCGTTATCTTCCAACAGGGCATGTTCCATCAAAAAACTCTTTACTCTAATGTAATTAAATGCCTCCTGTGCAGGCAGATCATAGGTGTTTTGCAACAAATTTCTTAATAGAGATATTAGCAAAAAGTTGATGCACCTTTTGCAATCCTGCTTTCTTCCAATTTTCTAACGTTAGATTTTCCAAATTATTTTCAATTTCTTGAATATTTAAAAATGTCTGTTTTTTTTGATAAATTGGCTCTTTTTAAAAAATTGTTCCATACTGGTAATATATGGTTATGTATCATACAGCCATATTTATTGTCTTAGCAATTCTATGGATCAAGTTGGCTTTTAAATAAAATTCCAATCAGTCATCATTATTATTCCATAAAGATTATATCTATATAAAATACTAATAGATAATAGGACCACTTTAAAATCTTTTACTGCTAAACAGAGGAAGTGGTCCAGCTATAGTACGAAGGTAAGATGAAATAGTCAACCCGCCAGAACAACTGTATAGTAAATAGGCTACACAGTTACATATTGAGTTTATGTGTTAAAAGTTCAAATGCCAATGTTTATCCTAGTGCATAAAATAAATTTAAAAACTAAAATGAGTAAATTCTGTAAAATCCTCAAAGAATTACAATGCATTGAATAGTTTTATTCACTACCGGGAGTACATGAATTGCTCTTTGAATATAAGTGCACAGAAGTCAAGACGCTTTGGTCAAAAAAAAATTACAAAAGTTATGTCGAACGTCAACAGTAATAGATATGTAATAAGATAATAAGCACTCTGTAACACATGTCATGGCAAATACTTCAAGCACATGTTTGTTTCTTGCAAACAGTTATGGTGCAATAACTCTCTATTCCCTGTCGCCTTGTCTACAGGTTGAAAATATCACTGCAGCTGTAACCACCTCTACTCATATACTCATATACATCGGAGTTTCCCCTTACTATGATTAGTATGTGCATACAATCAATGCAGGTGCCATAGGACTACCAAGTCATTTTTTTAACGAGATAGCCTGTACCAAAGTTACTTAAATAGAAACATGAATTATCATAAATTAAGCTAATAGACCCATTTAAACAGCGTATTCCATAAACCTATGATAGGTAGCGTTCCCAGTAAAATTAATGAGAGAGCCAGGCTGATCAGCCTCAGACAGCTTCTGAAACTAGTAACTGAAAATCCTGGGTATTTGTTCAAACATTCATTCTTTATTGATTTGAATATTTTTATGTTATTTTTCACGTGTTTGATGCATTGCTGTCCTCTGTGGAATTAAAAAGAGAAGAAAAATTAATAAAGTAATACATGCTGGTGTTTATGAGACCCCAGCATGTAATTTTCCAATTGTTTAGATTCCACTTAAAAGTTTAAAAAAATAAGTTTTATTCATCTCATATCCTTCACCACACGGTCTCGCCGTATGCATGAACTTACTCTTTTTCCTGGGTGGTATACATACTTTATTTCTAGTTGTATAGAAGCAGTGGAGAAGGAACCCCTCGCTCCCCCCTTTACTCTATGGACACCCAGTTTCATTTGAGGCATTAGTTATATTTGTTCAGTATTCTTGATTTGTTTGTTAAAACACATGGTTTTTTTTAATCTAAATTTTACTTTATTTGGACTTTTTCTTCATAATTCCCATATGAAGACATTGTGCTGAATTTAAAGATTTCAATTTCCAGTCATATTAATTTGTTTTGCATTTCTACGCACTCAACAAAATACCCTTTAAATACTTTTACATACAAACACCAGCTGCTTCATTGGATTTCTCAATGAAAATAAAACCATTGTAGTATGTCATAAAGTATTATACAGTTTTATTGAAGTTTGTTGAGTAAAGAACCTTCTAATAACATTAGCACGGTCAATGCATTATGCCTTTAGACATTTTATAGAAAGGTGGTCAATGAATGCTGAAGCCTCTTCACTAAAGAAAGGCTTTGCCAACAAAATACAAATCAAATTATTTGAATATCTCTTTATCTTTGCCATACATTAGATGTCAACGCAAGGGATAAGGAAACAATACACTAATACGACAAACAAAACTCACTCCATGCGTACTATGGAAACAAAAAGACTATTTAGAGTGTTCGCACAAGCCCATCACAATGCGAACATAAATGTTTATGAAAAATGCTACGTTGATAATAACTTCCTTTATGGTCATTTTCTGCTTGTTCCTTGATCCTATCATCAGAGCGGCTTGTCTTGAGACAATAGGCTTTGTCAGTGAGTCCACAGACAAGCTTCGACTTGGTAGGAAAAATAGTAATCGCCTTTAGAGGTAGTGAGTGATACCTTTGTTTAAAAACCAACTATTTGTTTATGGTTCAAGATATTGTACCTAACATTGTATTTCTTCAATGCAAATAATAAAAATACAATCTTTCTTAAAGTGAGAGACTCACCTTCCCCTCGAGGGAGCATTACACTTTCTAAGGAGAAACCTGGTCTTTAAGCAACTCTCTAACTTGACTTCAATCTCCTTGCAGGATTTACAAATACTGGACGCAAGTCAGTACCAGAACTGTTGAACATGTCCGGTGCAATTTATGATGGATGTTAAGCCTTTTTGACTCACACAAAGGCTTGCCCTATTTTTAAAAAAGTATTTTTGACCCACAGAGGTCAATAAATTCAGTGCTCACTAAAGAAAGGATTCAGGCCTTCCCTTTGCAAACACGCCTTGCCAGTTGTTGCCAGTTTTAGTAATTCCTTCCACAAATTTAGAGTTTTTGTTTTACTTAAGTTATCCATTGATTTGATTAACATGAAAATACAGCAGTGTCTATTAGATGCATGTAACTTGACCGGCCACATTTCTTGCTGTAGAGTTGTATGGGCTTAGGCCTGGCAAAGCATCATAGGAGTTTTAGTTCTATAATAGCTGGGGATCAACATTTTGGCCAACCTATTCAGTTAAGTGTGCACACCGGTACTAAAAACAAGCAACATTAATTTGACCAAATACTACATTTCTTTTTCAATTAGCTTCAAAGGACTGCACATTTTCCCTTAAATGTAATAAAAGTCAACAACTTAATTTAGAAATCTGTTTACAGTAATGTTGAAACAAAAGTAATTATCAGATGATGAAAAAATGTTACAACTTCACAACTGTGCACAAAGAACATAAAATGTATTTTAAAATGGTACTGCATGCTTATTAATCCTTTTATTACAGTGTGTTTGTTAAATTGTGCATGGCTAGTATTTTAGTGTACAGATTGCTGTAGAGTTTGAATTTTTCATTTATTCCATTTCATTATTTTTTAAATGATTGGGATGTTATTGTGACGATACTTGACAGTATTTCCAAGAGGTTCTGGAATGTTAACATAACATGGAATGTAAAAGAATCATATACTCTGCTTACCGGTATTTGAAAAGAACTTGCAAGTATTTTTCTTTGTGAATAAATCATTTCAATAATATACAGAATTATTTGCACCATTGAATAAATGGTTAATGTTACAATACTCCCCAGAGCTTTATTCTCTATCTCTATCTTAAAACACTAACAACATAGCCCAATATTTACTATTAGCAGATCAGACACTGCACTACTAAGCAAAACTAATTTCACTGCAACTGCTTATTTCTCTGCAGCCCTGCAGAGGGACTGTAACATTGTTACATAGTTACATAGCTGAAAAGAGACTTGCGTCCATCAAGTTCAGCCTGCCTCACAAATGTTGTTGCTGTTGATCCAAAAGAAGGCAAAAAACCTTGTCTGAAGCTCTTCCAATTTTGCCACAAACTAGGAAAAAATTCCTTCGGGCCCCAAAATAGCAGTCAGATGTCTCCTTGGATCAAGCAGCTATTACCCCACTAATTAGAAATTATATCCCTGTATGTTATGTTTTTGTAAGTATTTATCCAATTTCAGTTTAAACATCTGTATGGACTCTGACAAAACCACCTCTTCAGGCAGAGAATTCCATATCCTTATTGTTCTTACTGTAAAAAAACCTTTTCTTTGCCTTAGATGAAATCTCCTTTCTTCCAGCCTAAATGTGTGACCTCGTGTCCTATGTATAGCCCTGTTTATGAATAGATTTCCAGATAAAGGTTTGTACTGGCCCCGAATATATTTGTATAAAGTTATCATATCCCCTCTCAGGCGCCGTTTTTCCAAACTAAACAGATTTAATTTTTTTAACCTTTCTTCATAACTAAAATGCTCCATTCCTTTTATCAATTTTGTAGCTCGTCTCTGGACCCTCTCCAGTGCCATGATATCCTTCTTTAGAACAGGCGCCCAAAATTGCACAGCATATTCAAGGAGTGGTCTTACCAGCGATTTATAAAGAGGCAAAATTATATTTTCATCCCGAGAATTTATGCCCCTATTTATACATGACAAAATATTATTGGCCTTAGCAACTGCAGATTGACATTGCATATTATTATTGTATTTCACAGCAGTGGCATTCCAACATTGTACCAAACAGTAAGTCAAACTTCACAGCTGCATTTTAGCAGCCAAGAAGGTGGGAAAAGGTCTCTGAACACATTGACTATAGTAGAGGAGTTATTAAAGGGTTGCAATAGCAGCACGCACAATTCCATATAGTACAAATGCTTGGTATAACTGTACTTAAATTATTTTTATATTCCAAGGACATTTTTAATAAACTGCAATTCCATTAAAGCAATCAGGTTCCTTACAAGTACCCATAAAATATTTGACAATTTTTTTTAATTTTGTCACACAAACTGTAATGTGATAAAATATAGCTACTTCTGTGATGATATTTTAGATATCGTATAGCAATATCACCCCCCAAAAATCTGCAAGATATGAATAAATAAATCAGAATTTATAATTTTAGACATTTACATAATTTTTAGATACCCTGCAGATGTAATCTCTGTAAAAAAATGCTGTTTTATCTTATGCTCGTGGTAGCTATGCAGTGTGTGTTCAAAAAAAATGTTTTGCTAAAAAAATGCTACATGAGTTGATGCAGTTGATGGTTTTGAATTTCAAGAAAATATATATTTTTTTCATTCTTGGTGGAGGATGTTTTTGGCATTAAGGTATCAATGTGTTCAGCTGAAAAAGAATTACTTAAGTTGACATTTAAAATTCCTAGGTAAGTTTGGCAAATTCTTTTTCCAGTGCAAACATAATAAAGGACAAATAATAAAACAAAAATAAAAAATTTTCACCAAACCAAGAAGTGATTGATACTCATTATACTACATTATGCAGATAGGATGTGAGGGGACAGAAAAGGTAAAACCTATTTGTATAAATTAGCAGTTTTTTGAAACATATAACGGAAATATAGTAAATATAGTAAAATCTTACTTGTATTCAAGTCTGCAGCTGCTGCCTGTGCCCCTCACCTGCCTGCTTGTCTGACATAATCAGAAGTGTTCCCATAGGAAAGCACTGGATTGGCTAAGACTGTCAAGGAGGCAGAACAGGGGCAGAGCCAGCACAAGCCAAACACAGCCCTGGCCAATATGTATCTTGGAAAGTTCAGTGTCTCCATGCAGAGGGTGGAGACACTAAATGTCAGTCACACTGTGCAGCACTGCACCAGGAAGCACATCTAGTATCCATTTGAGGAGTGGCCAGTGGAGGTATCCCTAGGCTGTAATGTAAACAGTGCATTTTATCTGAAAAGACAGTGTTTACTGCAAAAAGCCTGCAGGGAATGATTATTCTCACCAGAACAAATACAATTAGCTGTAGTTGTTCTGGTGACAATTGTGTCCCTTTAAATCTGAAATTCACTTACAATTTCACTTCACTTACAATCGCTTTGGAATTAGTTGATATTTTATTAATAGTAATAATAATAATGTATACATGTAGTACAAATACAATCTAAATATTCACATAGGTTAATATGCATAATATATATATAATACTCATGTAAATGAAAATTTGAAAATAGAAACTCTCTAGTTTAATTTTACAGATGTAGTAAGATTTAACCCCTTAAGGAAGCATGACAGAAATTTTCCATCATGCTGGCCTTTTACTTATGAAGTTGTATCCTTAAAGGATTAATGAAGGTATTCTCAACATTACATGCATCACAATCAACAGAATGTCCTTACATCATTATATTTGACAGAATAGATTGTAACATGCTGTAATGTATCTAAAATGTTTTTCAAAATGGATTCAAGGTGTACATTAAAGGCATTATATTTACAATTCATTAAATGAAAGCAATTTATGACTGACTGTTTTCCAATCATTAGAACTGAGCAAAACAAAAAGAGACAACCACCGGGAGGAAGAGGGTGACCCATCCCTGGATCCGAGACCAGAGGCTGCGTTGAGCAGCGGTAGTTTGGGAGGTCGTGGATGGCATCGCCGTGCGGCCGCAAGGTCTGTGGGTACCCCTGAAGAATGAGGCTGCACATTCGGGCAAGCCATGGAGAGGAGAGTTTGGGTCGCAAAGAGGTATCGGGTGGAGGTGGCGAAAATTTGGGCCGCGAACAGGTGAACGCGAAAGTTGGTGTACTTAAAGGAACTAAAGGAACTAGCGAACATTTGGGCTGCAAAGTCGATTCAGACCCGTGAACAGGAAGGCCGGAAAACTGCCGAATGTTCGGGCCGCGAACAGGAGGTCACATTGGGCCGAGAACAGGAAGGTCAGAAAACTGCTGCACATTGGGCCGTGAGCTGGAGGACAGTTTGGGCCATGGACAGGACTCCAGGATGCCAGGTTTAGTCTGTATTCTCGGGGAGGAGCAGGATCACTGAGAACAGCTGGCAGGAGAAGGGCAAGGTCAGCCATGGCAGGCTCTGCAGCAGGCAATGGAGGTGCTGGGAGTGCTGTAGGTCGTGAAGGAGAGGTGATTCTGGCTGGTGACATGCTGGGTGAGTCGTCTCCCATCCCTATGGGTCGCAAGCCATGGGGTAGCAGGCGGGAGGTGGGAAGGCGGGTGCCAGGCAGTGGTCACAGGAATCTCCTAGTAGGTCACAGGAGTGGAGTTTGTCCACGGGGTCGCCTCACAGGTCTGCACCCAGATCGCCTTGCGTGGGTAGAGGGGCGGCCCAAGGAGAGAGCCTGGGGTGGACCTGAGTTGGGCAACAGGTAGGCGGGCTTCCACACCCATTAGATCCCCATCACTTGTGGGCATGGAGCACCGCACTCAGGAACATCATGTCAGGCCCCCAGGGGGTGCTGGGCGACAGGGGTCACACTATAGATCCCAGAGTGGCCATAGTAATCAAGCAAGCAGCTACAGCGGGGGGTCCCCCAGGGTGGCTACCCGGGATTCTAATATGGGATCCCCTGTTAGGACTACTGACCGCAGGTGCAGAAGATCATACTAATGTAGTGGGAGTTCTCGGTGTGGTATGGTATTAGAAGGACGTTTCATGTGTCTAGTATCTTTTATTCCTGACTAGTAGTGCAGAACCTTACATTTTTAAGCTTGATGTTTAGTTCAATTAAATAATTAAGATTATACGTTTATATTTTTTGGGAAAAATCAGCAAATGAAATATCAAAGATTAAATACATTTTATATTTCTGTTTACACAATTTTCCCATCACACACAAACACAAATCATTTTTAATTTTAAGCAGATTTGGCCATCACTAGAAATATGATGATTTGAAATACCATGACATGCAAAACCAATTCTTTTACTCACAATGTAAAATAAGTCAGCGTTTTATATTTAGTGTTTATTCACAGCATCTGATAACAGGCTTTGCAAACTCAAACAAAAAGTGTGATCAGCCAAGGTGTACAAATTCACAGGCAGTTAATTCAGTAAACGGCAAATTGTAGTTAATTAAAAACCAAATTTCAGCATTTAAGCTAAATTAACGAGGCTGTGACCATGGTTCTAGATTTTATTCGAACCATTTATTTTAGGCTAAATTGTGCACTTCTGTTCTCAATTCACCACAATTTGCACTTTAAGGAGTACTCTCAGTTGCCATAGGATTATTAGTATTGTCGCATTATTTAAAGCAAGAGAGGTATCAAATGTTCAATTTTTAAATGTAAAGGAATCCATACTTTTTCCAAATATTTGAATATGAATATATATACAATAAATATTGTTATGTCTAACCATTACTCTTTATGTTTAAACATTATATTTCCTTCAATGCACTTATAACGACTTCTTATTTACACCATGCCATTAACTATTTAATATTTATTCTTATTTCCGTAATGTTTATGGTATATTGAAGGATAAAGAATAAAAGTTACATTTTCAAGGAATGATTTTATAAAACACTCCATATAAATATTAAGAGATTTAACAATTTAAATCTTGTTAAAAATTTTTAAAAACATGTTTTAGGAAACGTACATATTTTTTTTTCTTGTCCCTTTCCGTTTCTCGTTTTTTTCTTTTTCCCTTAATTTTCCATTTTCTTATAATATACATTCAATCCCATGTTCCGCTGTTGTTCCAGTATGTGACATCGATGTCTGTTGTAAAGTTGCTACAGTTTACTTGGATGTTATTTGACAATATTTGACATTCATGTTAACTTATATATTTTTTTTATTATCAAATATCTGCCTTTAATATCTTGTATCTGGTGAATAATTTCAACCTTGATTTTTTCTCCAAATATGACAGCTACTCCACATTTTTTTTTATCCTTGTTAGAAGCTTGAATTATAAGCGGAAATCTTTTACCTCCCCAATTCTGTTTATCTGTTTGCCTCCAGTGGGTTTCTTGTAAAAATATTAAATTTAATTGCTTTTCGCTCTTTTTGCTATAGTATTCATACCTTGAACATTGAGTGTCAACATTTTTATCATGTCACTTCTCGAGACACCCATACATCTCCCTCCACCTCATAATCACTGTTATCCTTTCCTATTGCTGCGAAAACATAAACATGACAACACCAATAACATAGAGTTAAAATCATTGGAGGAAATCCTCCCTTCTTAGCACAAAGACTATAAATTTTCATTTAGAAAAATCAGTCTTTTCTGTGTCTTTAAATCAGACACTAAGTAGGTGTGACCGGAGAGAGATAATACTATTTACACTTTTACCCCAAAAGAAGAAGAGAAAAAAAATGTAAAAAAATTCTCTCTTAAATATCTTATCTTCCATTTTCCCTTCTCCCCCTCTTCCTCTTTTTCCCGATAAACATATTTCTTCTTAAAATAATTTCTATACTTATTTCAACAAATTTATAAACAATTCTCTCTCTATTCCTCGTGTTATTTAATTACAAATATATTCACTCCTATTATCTACTACTGAATGTGAGTTCATTAGATCTTTTTAGTTATGTGCAAATAGTGTTTATTAAACTATTATTATACATTTTAAATCTATTTTCCCGTCTAAACTTTTGTATCCCTTTAATACTATATTAAATTGGTTCTGAAAAAAAAAATTACTCTTGTGCAAACTTTTTTCTATAATAGTGAAGGCTTATAAGCCATACAAGTGAAATTTGCAAATAAAATTAACTATATTAGTGAAAGCTTATAGGCTATTCAAATGAGATTTCCAAGTAAAACCTTCACACCAAAATTGCTACTTAGTTGTGTTTAGAGGTCTCTTTACCATGAAGAGAGGGGAGAGAGAAAAAAACAAACAAAAAAAAACAAAAAACTTATATGTTAACTTATATTTGAGAACAAAATATGTTCTAATAATTAAATTATTTTCTCCTAATGACAAGTCTACTACACATGTAAAGTTACTGTGTAAACTTCGAATTCAAGTGAACTGAATTTACAAATCTTAGGCAAAAAATGATTGATTAGTAAAAAAATCTCCAGCATTTTATTATATATAAACAATTGGCTGTTTTTTTTTTTGTTTTTTTTTACAATTTATAGTTTGATATTTTTAATTTATTTATCTGTAAGTAAAATTTTTTTTCATACCAGGCTCAGGGTGGCACTGTTTTTCAATAAAATGATGTACACACTTATTTTCCGTTCCTCGGAAGAATCCATACCTTGAACTCTGTCCATTTATATAACTAAATTCATTCCACCTGCAGACTTGGCGTTAGTCTTGTTTTATGGCTTTGCATTGAAATAACATGGTAATGTGATTTAATTCACCATAAACATATAGATTGCTCTACTTTTAAGTTGAAGAAAATGTACAAATAAGTGCTGCTACTATTATTGTTTTCTTCATTTTTCTTTGAAACGGTTTCTCATAATGTGAACTTTGTTATGACAGCAATTGTTATTAATCTGTTTATTTAGAAACTTAGAGAGTCACAGGTAAGAATTTCAAGTGTACAAGAAACATCTGTGTAATAATCAATTTATTAAAATTTTAAACATTTGGTCTGTTAATATTTTTTAACGTGGGAGGAGTGGGTTCAAAGTTTTTCCGTTTAGTGTGTCCTCTTCTTTCCATTCCACACCTGCTTTTTTTTTTTTTTTTTACGACCATTGATCTCTATAAAAATGAATGCATCTAGTTTGTAACACAGGATTAATGCAAATTGAGATTAATAAATAATTCATGTAAAAATAACTAAATACATAAAGAAATAAAACTATTTACAGATTTAGATAACCACCCCTTTAAAGTTCAGAAATGAAACTTGGCATTGATTGGCTGATAAAAGTCTCAATCAATATCAGATAGCACTGCATGATGATGGCTCCATGATTGTGGTCACATGATTGTCTTAAAATGCTCACAAGGCATAGTTCCTAAATTGTCGTTGACTGCAGTGCCCCACACGCGATTACTGAATAAATCGAATAGTTGAATGACATTCGGTAGATGAGACAAGCCCTCATACAGTCATTTAGTACATGACAATTTTGTGTTATTTCTCGGACCAAATTACAAGAAACTAAAATTTCTGTCATTTTGCAGTTCTCACAATTATGGCGGCTCATGGTAATGGAGCTAAGAATGTTTATTTAAAGAAAACATCCAACGGGAATTTAAAGTAAATCAGATTACAGGTAATTTTGACTACACGGATCAACAACATTAAAACGACCTGACTAGTATTGTGTAGGTCCCCCTTGTGCTGTCAGGAGCACAGTAATGATAATAATGGCTTCTGGCAAAAAAAGTCACCAGGAGCCAAAAACATCTCACCTTTTGGGTTCTTTTCAAAAATACATAACCCCCAAAAGTGACAGCGATGCTTTAATAAAATATTATGAGCTATAAGCATCCTATATAGTGCATCTACTTTAGGATAGTGCTAGAATTAAGCGGATCTACTTTGGGGCAGTTTAGTTTAGGGCTTTTATATTTACTTAGCTGGTAGCTGACAGGTCAAAGGACTAATTTATGTCATAGTGTTTTGCATGGGGTGAGTTTAATTTCCTTTGAAAGGGAGCATAGACTTAGCTTTTGAGTTTCAGTTAAGTTAAGGCTCTCTGGTCATTGACGGGATTGATTTTGGTGTAATATGTTATTTAAGTCGATATGTTTTATTTGTGTATAAATGCTATTAAATCCTTAATAAATATCACCATGACATTACAGAAAAAAAATAAAAAATAAAAAATAGTTTCTTGTGAGTGTATATTTTGTTATTCATTGCAGCAAGCACTGCATGTGATAAATGAGCAGGTTTCATAGTCTAAAAAGTGACTATGTCTCATAATAAGATAAGTATCCATTAAATTAGTGACTTGTATTTTTGGATTGTAGCAACTCCTTGCCGACTGACTTATTAATAATAATGAAAACTATGTTTAAACATTAGTGAATGTATACAGAAACAGATCACACATCAAGAAACAAAGCTTATATTTTATATGATATTAACAGTGGCGTACACACAATCCCCGGTGCGAAACTGATCCGTCACTTCCTTCCAGTTCTGTCTGATATCATCACAGGGGGCCCGGTCGCCCTTAAAGCTCCCAGTGCTGACTGGGACCCCTGGAAATCCATCTCCATCGCGTGGCCCTAACAGCATTGGCCACCTTATGGACCCCATGAACGTCAAACCGATGGGGCCACAAAACATGACGGCTCGTACCCGGTCGCAGGGGTCTGCAGGACGGCCGGACCCCCTGGAGTGACGGGCCCAGTCGCAGCTACGACCCCTGCGACCCCTATATGTACGCTACTGGATATTAATAATAAACTCTGTCTAAGGACTAATAAAAGATAAATGTAATTTTCTAACAAAACAATAAAAAAAAGTGCTTTGCCACAGTTAAGGTTATCAACTAAATTCCAAATTATACCAAAATTGAAATTTGAATTAAAAATTTCAGACTAAAATAATTATTGAAAATAAATTCTCCAATACAGTCATAGTCTTCAGAAAACTACAAATGTATAACGTTGTTTTGCCATTAAAAAGCACTTTCTTTTATATATGTTTGATCACCATAACAGCTGTTGCACATTAGGTATGATTTGTACTATTAGTCAATCTAGTGGATATACCAAAAATTGCCATAAAGGTTTGTACATTGTTAGCTTTTAGTGTAGACTTGATGTGTGATGTTTGATGACAATTACAATATACCACAATTAGTTACTTGAAGTATTTCTTATTTCTTCAATGGGATAATCATTCTGTGCTACTCTGTATCTTGAACATCATCTTAATATCTATACATTTATTCTAACAAAATAATGATAACGATCTTGGCTTTTTTTTTATGGTCCTTGATGTTCCTTTGCTACACAACTGAAAACCTCAAAGCACCTAGATTAAGGAATTATTTGACAAATGCACTAAATCTGAAATCTAAATAGGCTTCAATACACAAATATTTTGAAATTAATTTCAGCATTGCTATATTCAAAATATTAAAAAAGGATGTGCCAGAAGCTCACCAATGGGTAAACAAGAAGACATGATCGATATCAAATACTACACAAGTAATAAATGTTTTTGCACCTCCAGAACTAATGGGTTCTCAATTAATAAAGCACTCTGAGCTATGATCGTACAGTTGGATTCTTGTCTTAAGGGATAGGATATAACAAATAAGGTGTGAGTGCAATTTCTCCACTGATTATCACATCACCTTGATGTCTGTCTGTCTACACAACAAAGATCACTTAGATGTTCAACTCTTTTATAAGAGCAACAGCAAAAATGGAATATCCTGAGCCTTAATCACAAGGGTTTTAAAAACGTTTCTAAAGACAACATTAGCTCCCAATTATTACAGGTCTAGATATAGATGTATTCTGTCATAAAATTAGGGATCCTAAATGGAAAGCAGGCTAACTGAGAAATGTTTTTATTTATTATAGGAAGGACACCTGTGTTATTTATACAGTTTAGTTCTCCTTTTAACTCCTTCACTACTGTACAAATCTGAAATGCACTAAACATTAACCCCTACGTTACACTATCACTAAGCATTAACCCCATACACTACATTAAATATTAACTCCTAAACTACACTACTTATTAACCCCTACACTGCACTGTCCCAAATTATTAACCCCTACACTATATTAAACATTAACCCTCTACACTATTCTAAACATTGACACCTACACTACATATTAACTGCACTATCTAAAATTATTAACCCCTACACTATATTAAACATTAACCCTCTACACTATTCTAAACATTGACACCTACACTACATATTAACTGCACTATCTAAAATTATTAACCCCTACACTATATTAAACATTAACCCTCTACACTATTCTAAACATTGACACCTACACTACATATTAACTGCACTATCTAAAATTATTAACCCCTACACTATATTAAACATTAACCCTCTACACTATTCTAAACATTGACACACCTACACTACTATCTAAAATTATTAACCCCTACACTATATTAAACATTAACCCTCTACACTATTCTAAACATTAACACCTACACTAAACATTTACTTACCCCCGCACTACGGTAAACATTAACCCCAACACTACACTATCTCAGAATATTAACCCATGCACTACACTAAATATTAACCCCTAAACTACACTACATATTAACCCCTACACTGCACTGTCCCAAATTATTAACCCCTACACTATATTAAACATTAACCATCTACACTATTCTAAACACTAACACCTACACTGCACTAAACATTTATTTACCCCTGCACTACAGTAAACATTAACCCCTACACTACCATAGCACTAAAACTAACACTAACCTACATATGTTAATTAGTATATAACAACAAAGCATGTACAATGGAAATAAAGTAAACTCAAAGTTCCATAGACATTTATAAACCATTCAACCTTTGGTCTTATGGATTGATATGTTGTCTAAAGAGCTCATCGCCATGTTTATTTTGTATATGAATAACGGAAGGTGCTATGAGACCCTTGGTGACAATTTGCATAAAATAAACAGTAACAGTAATGACTCATAAGAGAATATATTTTAATGTATCTCAATACAATAGAGTTCATGAAATTTAAAACATATATAATAATAAGAACCACACTTCTAGGCTCATTCATAATGTTAATCATTATTCTATATAAATTACATATTATTTATAATAGGGGACATGGGAGGATTGATCTGTTAAAATTTAAAGGAGGGTAAAAGTCAATTAGGACAATAATTTCTTTATTTCAGCACATTTTCTTTGGAGAAAAGAGACAAAAATTTGGCTGATTTTTAAGAACTGGCATACTTTGTGAGAATCATATTTGCTGAGGATGTGAGATCAAATATATATTGCAGTTATTAGACTTGGAGATTAATTTCAGGCTGAACTGCAATTTGCATCAATTTGGGCTGGTCAAATTCAGTTTCCAAACTCTGAGCCGAAATGCACCACGAATTATGGACCATTTGAAAGACACAATAGTGAACATGTTCATTTCTGGCTTTTGATTCTGGATGCTGCCCAAGATGCCAAAAAAAGTAGATGATTTATAGAAAAAAAGGTTGATGATTAGGGAGCTGTAACAAAATGTTGATTTTATGAGACGAAAGCACTCTGGGCTGTGATTGGACAGCTGGGTGTGACCGACAGTGGGACAAAAATAGACACAGTAAAAAAACGAATTTAAAATGTATATATTTATACACATTTAATTAGATATTATACATTTAACAAATATGTTCGTATATTAATATTGATTTTTTTACTACTCTATTGGTTACTTTTTCTCAAGATCTGTGAATATAATCGTGGCAAAATGCTCCTATCAGTGTACTACAAAATATATACCTAATATTATATTATGTGTATATTTTGCAGCACAGTGCTCTTTTTTTGTTATAGACATTTAGTTTCCAAAATGCAATCTCCGTTCTGAAATTATGCTAAGCTGATTCGACATATGGCCGTAATTCCTTCTTCCCCTCTCCCCCACCCCTCCAACATTTTTTTACTTTTGAGAAAAAATGGTTCAACCAGGCTAAATTGTATCTCCGTACACAAGTCTAGTAGTTAATAATGGATTTCTGTTAGAACACACACCTGGGACTAGGGGCTTGCATAATGATTTCTTCTTCTTATACATTAACAAAAGTCAAAATTGTTTGGGTCACTGGAATGGAATTCACCTATCCGATATTACAATATGTACACTTTACACCTTGATTGTTAAATTCATCTGAAAATAGAAGGAAGTGGGGGCGGCAATAGTGGGGCTTATATTTCACTGTATTGAAGAACCCTCCAAATGGGCTTTGAGAAAATAGTTTGTGTAACCCACATTAATAGGAAACAACAGCAGGGGCTAAAACCATCTGATCATATGAAATGAATAGATTCATTTTAGAAAATATAAACATAACAAATTGAAGGTTAATGTAATCCTTTAATGTGAGCCTGTGAACCAGTCATGACAAGTTTCCCAACTCTCCCATAGGTAATAGTTTATATAAAATTCATTAGAGCAATGCATTATATATTTAAAAGGGCACTGTCCTTTATCTTTATTTTCCTTTCCTAATGCCCCTTATATCTTAATGATTATACTCCCCAACTGCCACTTGCCTTCTTTTATATTTATTAGCGTTTATACCAATCACCAGCTCTCAATATCCAAGCACTGCCATGTCTGCAGTTCACCTTCCTGTAGGATTCTTTTGATGGATGGCTTGACAATAAATTAGCTCAACAATTGAAATGGAACTTTTCTTAAAGGGGCACTGTAGGCACCATAACTGCTTCATGTCATTGAAGTCGTTATCATGTGTGGCGTCTGGTGCTTTTCTTCCATTAAGGCTTAAGCCCTGGGACTCTCATTCATTGTTAAACCGCATGAAACTTGTTTAACCCCTTAAGGACAGATGACGGAAATATTCCATCATGATTCCCTTTTATTCCAGAAGTTGTGTCCTTAAGGGGTTAACATTGAATGGAGGCACAGTGCAAGGAGACGCCAGGCACTATAACCAAATCACTGAGATTAAATGGTTATAGTGTCTCCAGTGTCTCCAGTGTCCCTTTAAGCTCCACCCATTACAAAAAAAATGCCAAAGAGCGTGTTCATTAAAAAAAGGATAGATAGAAGGACAAAAAAGGAATAATTTAAAAGCAGAAACCCACAGCACATGCTCTGTGCTTGCTATGCTGGAGAGCAAGAGAACCACTTATAGGAAGGTTCTCCTGCTCTCCCCTGCCAATTACAAAAACAAAATGAATAAGTAAGAGGGGATATATTTTGGAATAGATTTATCTTCCATTTTATACATTTGCTAGCAATTCTACTTGCAAACATTTTAATTTATGTAGCACCTATATTGTTGGACCTATTCTAACCATAGCTTTATTGGAACAATTCGACCCATGAATATTTTACACTGGTAATTTACATGTCGTTAGACTGTGATTAATGAGTTCAGGAGACATATCACAAGCCCTTATCACAATACTACTACTACTACTACTACTACTACTACTGCTAATAATAATAATAATTATAATAAAAATGACAATATAATCAACAAAATCAGAGTCATCCTTATCACAAAGCATTTATATGAAAAATCCATATGAAACTTTACATATGAAAACAGGTTTTTGTAACAATTAAATATGGGTTTATTAATTAAATACCAAACTGTAGTGATCATAAATCACATTGTAGCCATAGTGAAATTTTAGAAATATTCTTCATGTCAGCTATTGCCCCAACTTGGTTCCATCAGCCTAGGTTTTGGCATTCAAATTGACCAGGATCCATTTCTTCATGCATAAACCCCAACTGTTTTTCCTTTTTTAAGCATTCTACAAAGATTTATAACTGCTTCTTATATTTTGTGTTTTCACATGAATTTGTTCATTCCACACTATGTATCAGCATATATTCTATTCATAAATCATCTTTCTAAATTATTATTAACAATAGGCAAAAAAGTGATGAACATGTTTACTTTCTTAGAATAATTTTGAAACATATTGACCCTTAATAATAATGCTTGTATTTGTAGCTATATTTCTATACACAAAGTACCCACCCAATACAAGGTCAAGCAGATCATGCATTGCTTCAGTAAGAATGTTTCATATTTGTCAAACTAACCTGTTTCCATGTTGAATGCCGCAAACGGATCCTACTTTTTAAGTGACTAAATCAGCTTTTAAGAGGAAACTTCTCAACAACCCAGCGAAGAGCAAAATGGTAATATGGTTTGCGCATATTGTTTACTGCAGACATGAAGTAAAAAAGGACATTTTCTCAGTGTGTAAAATGTCCAGAGTGACTTTGCCCTTATTTGTTTACATGCAAATAATCTTTGCTTGTATGTCTAAGTGATTTGCATTGTCAGTTCAAGCCATGATCCCAACTATTCCCAACTAAAATGTGCATCTGCCTTAAAAAACAGGTTTTCAATACTTATAGAGAGAGCTACACCACAAATAGACACACACAAACATACGCAAACACAGTCACAAACACTGGCCAAATTTAGTGTTCATAATTGTTTTGTGCATTTTTAACACACAAACAAATATAAATGCTAACTTTGGCCAGTGTTTGTGACTAAGTGGCTATTAAAACAGACTGGACATACCCCATATTGAATACCCTGGGTTGTCTACTTTAAAAACTAAATTATATGATATAATGAAAATAATGGTATCTTTAGAAAGACAATTCAATGGCGAGAACAATTGTATATAATATGTGTGGGTACAGTAAATGAGTAAGAGAAAAATTACAGCTAAACACAAACACCACAGAAATGTAAAAACAGCCCTGGTCCTTAACGGTAAGAAAATTGAAAAACGGTCTGGTCACTAAAGGGTTAAATTATAACAAGGCCATATTATATTTACATTCTGTGAATAATAATAATAATAGACTTCCTTTTACACTGAACTGCAATTCAGCCGTATTTGGGCAGAATGAGAGATCAGTGGAATTACAGGATATCCAAACTGTACTATAACAGCTTCAGGCGGGGACAACATTCTGAATTCCACAAGTGGCACCAAAAAAGAGATGATTGATGGAAAAAAAAGATGATCAATGGCTAGGGGACAGTCATTAGATGTTGATTTTATTCAACGATCAAGTCAGAAATGAGCATCAGAAGGAAAACATGAGTAGCAGTAAAAATCTATATGTATATATTACATATTTAACACAAATATAGTATAAAAATATAGGATTATAGATTTTGCATTGCGCTTTCTGTTGTTTCCTCTGTTGGTTACTTTTTCTTGATTGATCTGTGAACCAAATGGTTGAGAAATTGTACTATGTATATATTTAGCAGCAAACTGATTGGACCATTTTTGCTCCTTTTAAATTGGTCTGATTCGGTCAAGCTTGACCGATATCGTTCTGAATCTCAACTTTCTCAAAACTGGTTCTATTTTCTGAAAAAATGATTCAGCGGAATTGAAATTCCTTGCTTGCATGAGCCTTTTCTTCATAGAATGCAATTATGTCCAATTAAGTGCCCTCTTAAAAAACACATTGATTACTGTTAACAACTTTGTTGTTCACTATGAATTGCTGAATATGAATCCTTAATAACACTTCAAACAATTTCACCTTGACCACTCCAGTGATTTGAAGTTGTAATTGTGCGTGGGATCTGTTTTTGCAGCTTTTCAGTATGAAACACTACGTATATTTATTTGGTTCATCCAATATTCAATCATTTTTTTGTTTATTTAATGAATTTTAGACAACCATTATTCTCTATGGAAATGAATGAATCCAAAAAGCAGTAGTCCCAGCAATCCCCAAAAGGAAATATTCATTGAAAAGAGCAGCAGTTGTTCAATGAATGAAAAAACAGCATCGAGAAATGTATTCAATGGTCCATTCGTTCATTTGGTCAATCGTTAATATTTCAACAGTTATTCGTTTTCAGACTAAATTAATTAAAAACTAAATTTTCATTAATTTTTTATTATTTCAAAAACAAATGCACATATGTAGTATCCTATACCTATGAGAACATAACCCAGTATTCAGATTAGTTACTCTTAGGGTTACCCCCTCTTTTGGGTGAAAAGGTTTGGTGACTCTATATCAATGGCCCCTTTACCATATTTGTGAAGAGGTAGCTGTTGTTACCTGTACATTGGGCCTATCCCCATATCAGAGCAAAAAAAATGCAGGAACTGTCAAACTGGTACTAAAATAGTGAGGAAAGCAAGATCTATGAGAAACTTAGGCAAATGTCACATGAATGCTCATTATTGAAAGGAGCAATTATAATTGAAACAATGAATTTACTTTTGCCTCCAGGACCTCAATTACTTAATTCATCTGTAACGAAAACACCTCTTTCCCTGTGACTATGGCCCCTGGGATATATTGCCCTTTAAAAACACTATTTGGGCATATTGGATTTTAAAGGCACTGTTTCTGCCCCTTTGACTTTTAACTGGAACAGATTCAAACATGTGGCTGCGGCCATCTTAAATTGTCCAGCAGTGTTTTGCCGTCGAGTGTATGGAACTGTGTTGAGCATGGGACCATGTGCACGGTGAGGCAAAAATAAGACTTCCAGGAAATTCCTGAACCCCTGAACCGATCTGGGTGATTTTTGGATATGTTGTTCACCCAGATGGGGGCTATCAGGGGATTTTACTTTGTGGGGATATGTTGTATTTTGGGGTACTTTTTGGGGTTTGTAAAAATGTATGTTTTTTCTGCTTAGAGTTAATTGAGTTAGTCCCTTGTCTTAGTTAATTGTATCACAGGCAGAGGGGAGGGCTTGTATGCTGTATGTGGGAGTGTCAGACATTGTTGTATTGTTGTATTGTAAGAGCTGTTCCTGTTCCTGTTTCACTCTCTGGACTAAGGAGAGGTTCACTCACTGGAAGCTGGAGCCCGGTCTTGGGTCCAGGATGGGTGGAGGATGGCGAAACCCCAACCAAGCTGTGGTGGTTTGTGGGGTTTGCAGTGGTTATGGTGTCGAGTGCGGGGCTGTTGGTCCATGGCGAGCACTAGGAGCATCGTTCGATGGAGGCACCCAGTCGGGGTGGCAGGCCGTCCATCACATCATCCATTGGAAGTCACACCAAAAATCCATAATTAAATTCATGCCTGCTTTCACTTCGAGTTTAACGAGTAGGTCATTATTTGAAAACAAATTAAGGCAATGGAGTTTTTATTTTTTTTAAGGAAGTTGTATATTACACCAATAAAAGAATGATATTAATTGTATCTATTATGTTCTTATCACTATCATGTGAAACTGATTTAAATGTATCCATTCATAGAATCTTCTCAAAAATTATGTCATTACACATAGATCAATGTTCTGAACCCCTGGATCGGGGCACGAAACCAGGTCCCAATATAATTTTAGTGGGTACCCAATGTTATGAACAGGCAGATCATATTCATCAGAACCCAAGCAACTGCCCACAATACAGTGCTTACTGAAGCAGCGTTACCTTCCCATATACAGTGCAGACACAGAGTCTGATACTTAGCTAATTTACTTATGTTGAAATAGGTCAAAGGCTAATGTTTTTTTTTTTATTTGATGGAAGTAGAATATTGTACAGTACAATAAATCATTACCCAAGCAGTGTTTGGAGTAAAATATGTCATTACCTTCAGCCTATGGGGTGTTTTGGGGATGAATGCAATATGACCTGTTCAAGAGAGATGGTTATCTTAAATCACCTGTAGCCAATTAAGATTAATTATTACTAGTAACAGACACTTATTTCAGCACCATGGATAGGGAATGATTTATTCTGGGATTTTGCAGTATTTTATAAGAGTGGAACCCTATACAGATCCCCCATTTGTTACAAGACTCAGGGTCATTTTTTAAAGTGCGGATTCAAAGTGAATTTCAGATTTAAATTCAAAATTGTTGAACCACAAAAAAAAAATCTCTAAATCATTATGCTTTCAGTTCGACTACTTTGGTCTAAAATTTGAAATTCACTCTGAATTCAGTTTGAATTCTCACTTAGTAACATTTACATAGTTACGTAGGCTGAAAAGAGACTTGTCCATCAAGTTCAGCTTTTCTCACATCTTTTTTTGCTGTCGTTCCAAAAGAAGGCAAAAAAACTGTTTGATGCACTATTGCAACAAACTAGGAAAAATTCCAGAATGACAGTCAGATTTATTGTTGGATCAAGAAGCTGTTACTCCACTAATTAAAAATTATATCCCTGAATATTATGTTTTTGCAAGTAGGCATCCAGTTGCTGTGTAAACATCTGTACAGACTCTGATAAAACCACTTCTTCAGACAGAGAATGCCACATTCTTAGTGTTCGTTCTGAAAAAAAATCCTTTAATTTGCCTTAGACTAAATCTCATTTCTTCCAGTCTAAACACATGACCTTGTGTCCTATGTATCTTGTTTATGAATAGATTTCCAGACAATGGTTTGTATTGACCTCGAATATATTTGCATAATTCTATCATATCCCCTCTAAGGCACAATTTTTCAAAACTAAAGAGGTTTAGATTTGTGAACCTTACTTCATAGCCGAAATGTACCATTCATTTTTAAATTTTGTAGCCCACATCTGCGCTTTTTCTAGTGCAATAATTTCCTTCTTTAATCAGGGCCAGTGCAAGAAATTCTGCCGCCTCAAGCAAAGATGCAGTTTGCCGCCCCTTCATAAGATAGTTCCATTGTGTCCCAAGTATTTAGTGGAAAGGAGACATGCATTCATCAAGTTCAGCATTTCTCCTGTGTTCCACTAATTTCTTTTAACAATTTAGTCGATATTCTCCCAAAGAAAATATGCTTTTTTTCTGTGCCATGGAATACTCCAATCAGAGGCTTCTCATTGATAAGTTTCTGAGCTGGATCCGCAAGTGTGCGCATGCACACTCAATCACGTCTTTACTATGTTTCCCATTGAGCTCTAGTTCAGCTCATTGAAAAGGGTCTATGTGACAGACGGAGGTGTTTTTGCCACCAATTATAAAAGGAACGATTTCTATTGAAATCAGCACTTTTATAAACTTTCAAGAAAATTACAAACTCCAGACATATGAAGCATTTCAGAAACCAGTAATACTTAATGTGTGAAGTACTTATCTCTTTGCAAGAATAGTATAGAATAGTGCATATACACTCATCAACTTTTCCTTGTTTTTATCCTTCACTCTTCATTAATTAATCTTTTTTATTTTTGCTAGTGT